TTATTGTGCCGCTACTTTTTAATTTTAATCTGTTGTTTCAGAATTCAAAACACTCAAACACCGAACATTCTAGATAAATTGGCAGGAATGAAGATTGGAGAGTGTTAATTTTTTAACTAATCATATGTGCTGGTGAATATATTGCGGAGAATATAACTCTGATTGAAAGTTAGATGGGAGATTGAATTTAGTCTTAAATATAATATTTCAATTCATCTTGTTTTTCAAATTTATAATTTTTTCTTAGAGTAGTTTTAATGCACGTTGTTGAATAGTATAGTTTGGAAAAACTAATACATATTTGTTATAAACAATTAATTTAACTAATTTCTTTTAGTATTTCAAAATTAGTTACCTAGTTCTTATGCTAAAAACTAAAGGTAGTATTGATGCTGTTTCTTTTTTCTTGTTTAGAGAAAATCTCACTAGCTATTGCATTGTCCTTACAACATCTTTGTACTTAAGCATCAGCTTTGTTTAATTAATTGGGCTCCATCGCTTTGGTGGGCATCATTTGATAGATATGATCTTAGATATGTATCAATGGATGGCTTTCCACCTTTTCTTTTGAAGCCTAGCCCCCAGTTAGGTTCTTTTTCCTCTGGATTTTGCAATAAGTATATGTGGGGTCTCAAACGCTTTGGCCAGTAAATCACAAATCTTTTTTTATATATTCATAATTGCTACTTATTACTCCTAGTGAACGCTAAACAGCGCTAGTGCGCCCATTTGGGACCCATTTTAGAGTCTGTTCACTTACTTCGCGTCCAATTTCTAATAAATGAGAATCATATTCTCACATTTATTTTGTCTGGTTTATCTTTTCTAGTATATATCAATCCTCATATTTCCATGGACATGCTTGCTAGATTTCATGAAATGGTGATGTCTTCCTAATGCCTACGCACAGTCCCTGTCCCTATAACGAATGAATCATATTACTCTCTCTCTCTCTACGGAAGGGTAATTTGATAAGACATCCATTTTCATTTTTAAAAACTACTCCTCCGGTCCTTAATATAGGACCCAGTTGTTGAGTTGGTTTTGGTCCTAAATATAAGACTCATTTCTCATATTTATTAATTTTCTCTAAATTACCCCTATAGATACTTCCTCAACCATAATCAAGTAAAAGAGAAAGAGGAGGTATTAAAAAAGATGATTATGGTGTTTTAGGAAAAATATATCACATTTTTTATAATTAACTAACTTACCTAACTTCCTTAATCTAATCAAATTAGTTAAATGGGTCTTATATTAAGGACCGGAGGAGTATTATGAGTCCCATATTAAAAATTTCACAAGTGTTATATAGTTTATAAATTCAAGAGGCTCTCTCTCTTAAAAGGTTAGTTTTTTGAGATTGTGCTCTCCTTTGAAACTTATACTCATCACATTAGTGTCAGCCAACCAGAAACGGCTATAGGTTCAAGGAGCTCTTCTTCTTAAAAGGTTAGTTTTTTGGGATTGGGTTTTCTTTTAGAATTATGCTCGTCACTTTACAGTTTACAAAATAAATTAATATTGTATCAAGCAATTCATGATACATAATATAAATATAAAATTTTGTTTCATTTCTATTATAATCTATTACGAGTCCCATATTAGGGAATATTATTGATGTTGTGGGGTTTATAAGTTCAACGTGCTGTTTCTCTTAATAGGTTAGTCTTTTGAGGTTGAACTCTTCTCTTAAGCTTATATTCATTATATTGATACTTTCATTGAGAGTCGACCAACTGAAGATAGAGAATCTCACAAGTGTTGTAGGGTTTATAAGTTCAAAGAACTATCTCTTCTAACAAGCTAGTATTTTGGAATTGGGCTCTCTACCTAAGCTTATATTCATCACATAATCCTAATAATTTCATGAACAAAAGACGACCTTTATAACCGGTAGGAATTATATCTGTGGTTGTGCAAGCAACAAGTTTAAGGGTTGACTCTATTATTTTACTTTCGGCATCATGCATCAAACTAAACATATTTCTTTCTGGAAACACATTAAAAAGGGACTTGGCTTGCAAGCCAATCCATACTCGATAGTGGCTAGAGAACTCTAATTTGCTTTCCGGCCATGGCAGAAAAGTCCCCAGTGGCCATATTCTGATTTTGTTGCAATAAGAAAAAAATTATTTTCAACTTCGTCTCGATATGAAGTCTGTATACTACCTCTGATCCTAAATATAAAAGCTAGTTGACTAATTTGATGATATTAAGAAAATAAGTTAATTTAGTTATTTGTAATAAATACGTGTTATCTTTTCTAAAATATCCTTGATAATCAAGTGTATTGGCTAGAACTATCATTATTAGAAGGACTACATTGAAAAAAAATACATAAATATGAAAAACAAAATGGATTATAGTCTTATATTTAGGACCAAAATAAAAGTCAAATGAGATCTTATATTAAGGATCGGAGATAATATTGAAGAACGCACCCTGATAATACACATGATTGAAATTAAAAATACTTCTAATTAATTTTTAAATTTTCAATTATTAAAGTATGAGTAACTATGTATCCAATTTGATGATAAGAAATTCATTATGAATTACACATATATTTTGGGCATGGAATGATAATTATGTGGAAATATATGCAATAACATAAAATTTTGAAGAATAATTGAATTGGAGTGGGAAGAAGAGAGCATTATCTATAAAGTGGTGGAAAATGGTATACGGAATTTAGATGTGGGGGGTGGGAGTGGAAGCAAAGCACTATGCATAAAGTAATATAAAAAAGGTGTATAAAGGTCAATATTAAAAGTGTCACGCTTGCTCATTCTCGTCATGGGGCTGCTGGTCCACTGTGCCAAACTCTCTTTTATTAATTATTTATTATAATTTTTTAACCATATTTGATGTCGAAATAGGATAACAGAGTTTTTTAAGAATGTATTAAATACGAGTAAAATAATTTTTAAATAGAATTAATAATTTTTAATTTTTTTGCCAAGTCACAAAAAAAACTTTGATTAACGACTTGTAGATGAGAGCGGAAGAAGCATAAGCGCAATCCAATGTTCCATTTATTATCAAGGCCTACTCCTCCTGCCCAATCCTTGTAAGTTGTAGTAATAAACAATTATATCGTTCACATATATGACGGCTTATTAAAAGAATATTTTAGAAACTTATGAGATTAAAATATGGAAAATAAAAATAAAGGGAAGGTGGCGTGCGCCTTGGGTGCTTGGTTAGGCTGTTGCCCATTCATTTGCCTCTACAACTCCATACTTAGAGACAACAGTGCAAGCATTACATATTTACATTATAAATCCTTCATTCCTTTAATATTTTTTATTTTACTTTTCGCATCTCTTCCTGTAGAACACTTATCCCTTTTCCCTTAAAAAAAATGCATGAATTAATGCATTTGGCCAAATAATATAAATATGATGTCTGTATGTGGCAACTGCCCATGGTTCCACAATTTCACTCATGTTTATCTCTATCTGTTTCAATCCATTTTTTTTATTTAATTAATGAGTTAGTATCATTTTGTTATGAGGAGTATTCCTTAATCATTTCCGGTTCGAAAAAAATTAGTGTGAAGTTCAATGCAAATTGAGAAAACCCTGATTTCACCTAGGACAAAAAAAAAGTTAGCATCATCTTAGCTATATTCAATAAAATAAATCGTTTACTGTAGATCCGCATAGACATGTGTAAGCGGATTGGGGCGTATCAAAATGCGTGTTAATCATTTTTATTTACTTCGCAATTAAAATTGTATAAACGCGAATTCCTTTTTTTTTTTTTTTTGGGTCAAGACTTCCTACTCCCTCTTTGATTCTCCCCATCTATTGAAAGCTACAATTTTTTTCCCTTAAGTTTTAGTTTTAGTGATGTTACAATCAAACAAATTAACCCCTGTTTAAATCGTTTTTAAATCTTTGTAATTAAATCCGTAAAAAATTGATTAGATTAAACCAAAAAAAAGTAAATAACTAAGAAGGATGGTTTAATCATTTATCTTCTTTTGTTTTGCTTAGTCAGGATATTATTTCTAATATCATGCATAACTAAAACGTGTGTATACACTTTTCGAAAAATTTCAGGATGTATTTTCTTATATGATGAAGATGTGTGTGTGTGTGTAGAGAGAGAGAGAGAGAGAGAGAGAGAGCCTTCTAATGGACTGTAGACGCCATGCCAGATGCCTACATATGAAGAATATAATGATCATGTCGCTGATATTTCAGGATAATTAAATATGGTATTAAAAACATGCACAGACTTTGGTATTAATTAAAAATAAATGACTGTATGATATTTCACATAACTAAGATTCAACCGTACATGAGTCTAAAAATATATCACACTATATAGATATATAGTCACTGGAAATTATCAGTGCCTTTACATGTTATATATAAAGCATATATACATTTTGTAGAATTTAAATACACATAAAGTGTGACACAGTGTGATATTATTTAATGATTGTGAAATATAGTATAAAGGAAATCACTGGGAGGGGTGAAAAGACAAAAAGAAAAAAAGGTTGTGTGAATTTGAATAAAATAAAAAGAAAAGTGACCTCAACCGCTGATTCAGTATCCCAGCGCCAGCACTACTAGCCGCAAACCTCAAAGTGCCACTACCCTTCCTTCCTTTCACATCACACGCCTCCTTCCACTCACACTCTCCCTTTAAAAAAAAATAAAAATAAATAATAATTGATATCTTTTTTTTTTTTGAACAAAGCGACAAGCCGAAGCTTGGGAATAATAATTGATATCTATATTTTAAAAATTATACGTTATAGAATCCTCATACGACACAATGCCCCTCTTGGCCTCTTTCACCCATAATTACCGCATGTTTTTCCCCCGCTCTAATTTACTCCCTCAATGCCGTTTTGCTTTGTGGGCGAACGAAACAGAAATGAGCTGTACTGATGTAATTTTCTTCAATGATCAGGGCCATAAAAGTAAATTCCCCCCGTAAACTCCTGCCTACTTAGATCCTCCCCCACCAAATGTTTCTAAACGCCAATCCTAAGGACGACGACGCGAATCCAATCAGTAACCGAAACATAACCAACCATGACAACCCAGCGCCTCCTCCTCCTCCTCCTCTTCTCATCCGCATTCTTCTTCCTCCATCCATCCTCTGTCGCCGGAGAATCCTACGCCCGCGGTCCCGCCGACTCTCCCCTCAACTCCACCGATTACATCCGCACGAGCTGCGGCACCACTCTCTATCCTGACGTCTGCTACTCCTCCCTCTCTCGCTACGCCAATGCCGTCCAGCAGAATCCCGGCCAGCTTGCTCGAGTCGCCATCGCCCTCAGCCTCTCCAAGGCTCACCGAATGGCCTCCTACATCTCCAACCTCACTCGCGATGCCGAATACGAAGCCAACTCTCGCGCCTCCTCCGCCCTCCATGACTGCTTCAGCAACGTCGGAGACGCCGTCGACGAAATCCGCGGCTCTCTCAAGCAGATGCGGCAGATTGGGGCCGCCGGCTCCGGCGAGGAGTCGTTCAGGTTCCAGATGAGTAACGTGCAGACGTGGATGAGCGCGGCGCTGACGGACGAGGAGACGTGTACGGACGGCTTCGAGGACGTACCGGACAGTCCGGTGAAGGCAGACGTGTGCGATAAGGTCACGGACTTGAAGAAGTTCACCAGTAACGCCTTAGCGCTGGTAAATAATTACGCTAACACGGGAACGCCTTGAAAACGTCGACACAGCCAGATTTGGCTTCTTCTGTGAGTGATTAAAATAGAGGTTACTGCGTCAGTCAAATGGACTGTTGTGAATGTGAATCCTCCTTGTACGTATATTTTGGTCTTTCTGTAGCTTTTTCTTTACTAAAACCGAAAAAATTAAAATGAAGTGTGTTTGTGTTTGTTAGCCTTTTGGTGGAATCTGATCAGAATAGAAAATGTGAAAAACAGAAACTCGCTAAAACCAATAGAAATAGGGAAATGGAAATGCTTGCTTCGATTCTTCCTTTTGGGTGAGTTTGGTTTTCTTTATTCATTTTTACCAAACCGAATTTCTAGTTACTTTTGGGCTTTCAGTTTGAATTAATTTTGCGGAGAGAATACATTACCTGGATGATGAATAAAGTGGGCATGATGTGTGGTTGGTAAATGGTAACTTTCGCATGCGTCCTTCAACCATTTTAGGAAACATTCAGCTTTTTGGCCCTTTTATCATAACGCCACAACCACTATCACAAGATGCCATTCAATGCCATTCTCTTAACTGAAATTGTTTCCTTTCTACTTTCATAGTACCCATCAACCAACAATTATATTGATCGTTTTTTGACTCAGAGTGTCAACTATTAATGGCTTGAAATTATAAGTGGAATCAAACTTACCGCCTTCCATTTACAATAGAGATGGTCCACAACACTATTGGCTTGTTATCACTTTGTAAATCAGTACGAGAATAGAATAGTGCGCTCGTCAATTTAGATTTCTTAATTTTGCTTGATATGCCTTTATAAGTTTAATTGTTTCAGGCTGGGTGTACTAGCTAATAGGAATTATATATGATCGATATGATTACGTATAGTTAATCTTGTCAGCTATATATATACATTTATCTATATAGTGAACGTACCCCATGTGAAAGAATAAAAAAAGTATTGTCGGAAGTATTTGATTTCTTTTGCACCGGGATGATGATGAAAAACCACGATATGATTCAATAGCCCAGAGAGATGATCAGTGAGATGGTCCACAACGATCCCTATCGATGAGATTCCAATCTTAGAGATAGAAACTGCAAGGACAATAAAGATACACACACACACATGCTTTGATTATGTTCACATGCATGAACAAGAATAACAACCCCCCCTTTTCCCCTCCAATTATGATGTTCACACGCCTTTTAATTTCATTTCTTAATTATTACACACTATTTTTTATTCGGCCAAAACAAAACAAACTAAAACAGGCAGTGCATGAATATATAAATACATATATAACTGTTTTTAATTAATGTTATATATATAGGATATGATAGTGTGGCTGCCTGATTAATCAACATATAGAAAGAGAATCTAATTTATTTAGTCCAATCATCAATCGCCCGCCCCATAACACGTCCAACACCAACTTTTTACGCACATACAGCTTCCTCATCATCAATTCGTTATTATATCGGAAAATTACGTGCCAACCAAAACTAATTAAATTACTTTCACTCACAATGTGTATGCATTCATCAGCTTCCTATCATAGGGAAAAATTTGGTTTCCACAAAGAAAAGAATGTTTCAATTGAAGTATACAATGGCCATCAAAATCGATATCAGTGCGGATGACACAATCAGCTAGTTAAACTCCAAAATATTACTCGTTTCTATTAAGCGACAGTGAGATTGCGTGCGCTTGCACATTAACTCAAACACGGGACATGATATTGAAGTAATAAAGCAGCACCTAATATTTAAGTTGAGATGAACAAGACTGATTATTGATTATTATGGTAATTAAGAAGCCATGTAATTCATCAGTAAACATAAATTAAAAACTACAACCGACCGAAATTAACCCACAAACATAAATTTTAGTTTAGAAAAGCATTAGTCTCTTTATAGGCATGACGATGCTGTCCGTTCTTTTCCCCTTGTTATACGTTTTTTTTAGTGTGGAGAGAGTAACAAGGGCGTCAATTTTAAAAATGAATATGCTGACACTTTGGGGTGGCTCGTGATTGTGAGAGCTCGCTCTTTGTTGAATTAATGAGATGTTATAATTTGAGGAGCATAATAGTTAGGTATTGGTTCATATTCATTGTATATATATAAGAACCATAATCGACAAATATATGCACACCACCAGCATGGATTTTTGGCTCCGTCCTCTGCCCTTTGTATTCCTGTGATTTCACAGTATATGTTCAACACAACAGCTGTCGGGTTAGTTTTTCTTAATACTGATTCTTAATATAAGATCTAATTAACTAATTTGAATATATTAAGACTATTGGTTAAATTAGTTAATATGATTTTTTTTCTTCTAAAACACCCTGATTATGTTTTTTAATTCCCTTCCTCCCTGATTATGTTTGAGGAAATATCAATAAGATGAAACTGGTAGTAGGCATAAATCACCAGAAAAGATGATTCGTATATAAATGATTTGTTACATAAATTATGAAAGGTATATATATATATATATAGAGAGAGAGAGTAATGTAAAGCATGTCACCAAGTTTGGGTAATGAAAATAATTTAGTTTAGCGAGAAATTAAATAATAGGATATGTAAAATTTTGTGACACTAGATTATAGAGAGGGGGGGGGGGGGAGTCGGCAGGGGAGGGGGAAGGGTGGGGACGTGATGAGAAGGATTATTATGAAGAGAAGTGTGAAGGAATGAGTGATGGACGGATGGATGCGGCCGGATTCACGCGTGTGAGTTTGTAAACACATACATACATAGAAGGGCCCATGAGTGAGAGAGGACGTGAAGACTAAACAAATGCAGGTAAGGAAAGCCGACATCAAATACTAGATTGGCCTTGACATGATGTTACTGTGCGTGTTTGTAGCAAGAGGAGCGAGAGGGATGGGATTGTGAAGTAGAGGGAGGGCGGGGGGGAGGAACTCAGACAAAACAAAAGAATGGATCGTAAGGGTACGGCAGAAGGCTCACATGCACACAACGTAACTATTACCATTGGGGAAGCCTCAAGAAATGCCAAACCCAAAGCCATTCTATGCCACTCATCCCTCCCGCCCACCTCCAATTATACAAATCCGGACAGCAGGATATATAAGCCAACCCGTGAAATGAAAATGACCCCAACTCCTACCTACACATGCATATATATACTGGTTGAGCGATAATATTAGTCTAGTCAAAACTAAGAAACAAAAACATATTGTCTTTCAAACACATCAGGCATACACCTAATTAAGTAGCTGTGCCATTATATTCGCAGATACGATGCTTCACGTTCAGGACTCACATGCACTTCTTCAGTTCCTATCACACATATATAGGATCTTACTTATATATATTTTAATTAACACGTACAGCCCCATAACCACTTCACCCTTAAAACTGTAGTAGTTAGTTGGAGGTTTGATTATTTCTAATCATCTGCAGTTTAATTTTCTGCAACGCTTAGGTGTTGTGTGATATGAGACGCGACTTTTAATTCCTGAAATCTTTGAATCTGCATCGCCCCCGCGAAACACGTACACGATCACATGCACAAATTTATGGAACTTGTTTCTTCCCTTATTTTATTCACAGCGATTGCAAACAAGTACGTCTAAGCTGCTTGTTATGATCAGTCAGAAGCATTACAGATAAAATCGATGCGAAGCTACAGGAAGGGAACATATTAAGAACTCAAGGACGACTGAGGGGAATCATCGCAGTCCTCTTCGCTGCCTCCAAACCTCTTCATGTGAGCCCAAATCCATAAGCCCATTAACTTCATGACCAATGCTCACTTCTTCTGGTCCGTTCTTTCTCAACATCCCAAACCGTATTATTCTTAGGCCCATTGCTCACGTATTAGGCTTCAGAACTCTGCTGCACGTAAAAATGACAACGCAGACAAAAATTCAATTTCTGAGACAAATGAATAGATCCCTCCTCTGTTACTTAATATACAACTTAATTAAAAAATTAATATCAATATTATATATAAGACCTATTTCATATATTTATCAATTTATTTCAAATTAACCCTATTGATATTTTTTCAACAATAATTAAATAACAAAGGGAGGGAAAGAATTAAGGAAGATGCTTATACTGTTGTAGAAAAAAAATGATATTAACTAGTTTAAGTAATATCTTTAATCTACTCAAATTAATTAATTAGGCTTTATATTAAGAATCAGATAAATATATATATACACACAAGTGACAACTTCCACTGGTATCACATAGAAAAAATTTCATTCTTTGAAGATTAATTTTAATCCATTTAATTTCACTGGCTGAAGACGACTAGTGAACGTATCACAAACATCAACACTTGATAGACTTGTGTAATACTATCTCCGATCTTAATTATAAGAGCTAGTTAACTAATTTGAAGAGATTAAGAAAATAAGTTAAATTAGTTATTTATAATAAATACGTATTGTCATTCAAAAAATATCTTTGCTAATCAAGAGTGTTGGTAAGAATTATCATTATTAGAAGGACTATCTTAAAAAAAAAAACTCCTCCGGTCCTTAATATAAGACCCAATTATTGAGTTGATTTTGGTCCTAAATATAAGACCCATTTCTCATATTTATCAATTTTCCCTAAATTACCCCTATAAATACTCTCTCAACCATAATCAAGTAGAAGAGGGAGAAGGGGTATTAAGAAAGATGATTATGGTGTTTTAGGAAAAATGTGTCATTTTTTTAGAATTAACTAACTTACCTAACTTCTTTAATCTAACCAAATTAGTTACATGGGTCTTATATTAAGGATTGGAGAAGTATATAAATATTAGAAACAAAGTGAATCGGGATCCTACATTTATAATCAAAATAAAAATCAAATCAAATTTATATTAAAGATCGGAGGTATTATCACATAAAAATATTTTTAAATCTGTAAAGGCATTGTCTGGGCAGAAGCTTCAAAGTGCACTTGCTGCATATAGGTCCCTCCAGGATTTGATGCTTGCACGTGAATGTTAAGGCCTGGATCTGGTCCGCTTTTCTCAGGGAACTGGCTAAATGCCAATTAGACCACGCTCATATACTACCTCCCATCCCTTTTATCAATTACAAGCGTTTCATAACATAACATGTTTTTGTCTAAGATATCAAACATAATATCCGTAAATAACTATAAACTTTCTTAACTAAATTAACTAAACGCATCTGATTAACTAATGATTTTGATCGAACGTAATTTTCAAATCTTACATAAAATATCTAATTTTAATTAACCTCGTCAATTCGTGTAAAATTAGCAATGAAACGCTGACGCGAAATTGCTTCATGATTAATAAACTAAATAGAATGTAACAACTAAATTCCATCTTTAATTTTCACAACCTTACCTGGCGATCCTAACACTGTTCTGTCATTTTTTTTAATCATTTGAACTTTTTTTGTTTTGTTTTTGCCAACTTATGATTTGAACATTTCAGCGTTAACTGGCCCAAGTTTAATGACAGGGTTGGGTCTATTGAAAGAGATTAGTTCCCCATAATGTGAAGAACTAATATTTGAATTCCTGCTGGAAGAAGTATCTACATTTAGTTTCCTACAGTACTTCGAACATGATTAGTTTTAATAAGAGGATACCTGTGCTTATAAAAAAAAATACTTGCCCAGGATTAACCATTGTTTTCGGGTACAGCTATTCTTTTTTTTTTTTTGGTTATCAGAGGCAATCTTGTTTTAGGCATTGCTATGTACTAAACATGAGTATATCTTTTAATAAAATTTTAAACATTAATTCGTTATGTTGTAAGGGATTAACTCCTTATGCTAGATGGAACAACTATTGTTTTAAGTTGAAAGATCGTTGAATGTTCAATATGGTTATAGTTGGCCCATGATATGTATTTAAAAAAATAATTGGCCCATGATATCATGACACCCAAATCCAACTACGTGGCCCAACTTCCTTGGAGGGGAAAAAGCGACGTCGTTTGGCGCCTCTTATCTCTTTCCCCACACGCGGCTGCGAGCCAGGTTTGTCCATGGAGGCAGTCCTCACCGCATCATCTTGCCCGCGCTACTCAATTGCCTGTGTTTTGCGCTCTCTTTTCTACCACTTCTGTTTCTTATATTCTTGGCAATGGGTATTCGAGGGTTCTTCTATTCCTACACTCACTTATCTGGATTTCTTTTCATTCCATGTTCTCAATGAACACAAGTTTTTTCTTTGCTTGATTTTTCAGCAAGTTTGAATCTTTCAATAAAAATTATATATTTGCTTTGATTTTTCAACCACTTCCCTCTATCCGAGCCTGAATCCTGTCTTTAGGCTCTAAATTATACTATTATACATATCAGTTCTAGTGACTTTCGGAAGCAACATGGCTGTGCTTCTCAAAGCCTTGCCTTTGATAGCCCTCCGCCCTAAGCCATCATTCTTCTTGATCAGCAGCATTTCCAATTCCCTTCACAGAGTACTTCCCTTATGCAGAACTGTTTTTTCTGCTTCGTCGTCTCCATCTCCGTCGATACAATCAACTGCCTCTGCTCCGGAAACACTAACATCTAGTTCTCGACCGCCTGTTGACTTCAAGGAATCTCTTGAATGGGTTGCTAGGAATGCTTGTTGTGGCGAATTGTCTTTAAACGATGTAGGTAAAAGGGTCCACCTTTGTGGGTGGGTTGCTCTTCACCGTGTTCATGGTGGCCTCACGTTTCTTAATCTCAGAGATCATACCGGTATCGTTCAGGTACTCAGCTGGCATATGTTATAGCGCGTTTCTTATTTGTAGGATTGCTGCTGATAGCGCAGTTTCTATTATTGCTGTTAGTGCAAGTTTCGGCACTCATCCTTCGTTTTCTACTCTGTCATTGCAATGATTTGTACAGTGGCATTTGTACTCATTAATATTAAAATGTAGATTACGACCCTTCCAGACGAATTTCCTGATGCTCATTCAACAATCAATGACCTGAGACTCGAATACGTTGTAGCCATCGAAGGTACTGTCCGGTCTCGGCCAAATGAGTCCATCAACAAGAAAATGAAAACCGGCTTTATTGAGGTATGCATTAATATTTAATCAGGGCATCACATTTCTGTTGGGAGGAGGATTGACAGTAATTGCTGTGAGTTTCTGCAACTTTTGGTATTGTACGAACTCTGCAGTGCATATCTTAAACTCTCGGACAACTTCTGTAATGTATTTTTTCTTTTAAATTCCTCGATCCCTTGGTTGCTCATGGAGAAGCCTGGAACGCTGACCAATGCATTCTAGGCTATTGGCGAGTTTAATATATTGCCTTTTCCTTTATAATGATTTTCAAATTTGAGTAAGAGATAGATTGGACTACAATTTGAAATTTGTTCTCCTTGATAGCCTTATGATGCTTGAGCTCGCTCCTGATATGTTCCTTTTGATGGGCTTAGTTAGGAAGAATGGCATGGCCTGCTATAATAATTTTTCTTTTCTGAAAGTTCCTCTCTCCACATGAAAGTTCCTTGTTTTTTCTTCAATTCTTTCCCATGTTCCTTGATCGTTACTTAGCATTTGAAGAAAAAAGCCATTTTGTACCGAACCAATTGGTGCTTGGTGTTCTGTTTCCTTGAGTTAGAAATTACTTTCTTTTCCCATTAATGTTCCAAGTATTTGTGTGCGGTAGGTTGCTGCTGAGAGTGTTCAAATATTAAATGCTGTAAAGTCAAAGTTACCATTCTTAGTGACTACAGCTGATGACACAAAAGATTCTCTTAAAGAAGAAATCCGTTTGAGGTACTTACAGAGATGCAAGAATTTCATGATTTATCTATATGTATTTTGGTAGCTGTTCCGTTAAATATGAAAATTTTGTCTCTAATTTATTTTGGTCAACTTTTGGGAAAGTAAACTTCTCATTCAGTATTGTATCAAAAGTTTACATGCTTGATACCCGTACTCTTATGCGGTACTGGATCTTGGGGGATTTGTTTTACATGTTAAAAAGTTAGGTATTATAAATTTATATTTATTTTGTGAGAAATCTATTCTTAATTTTTGTTCTTGGCAGGTACCGATGTCTGGATCTAAGGCGGCACCAAATGAGTTCCAACATATTGATGCGACATAAAGTTGTTAAACTCATTCGAAGATATCTAGAAGATACACACGGTTTTGTGGAGGTAATGTCTAGTGAGTGCATTATTTGTGTTGGCATCTCCACCATTTGGGTTATAGTGCCTCCTCCTCTCCCATGCTGCTTTGAGGTTGATGGTTGGTATCATCTGTTGATCTTTATCTTTTATGGGTACAAGGTAGATTGAAACTCCAATACTGTCTAGATCCACTCCAGAAGGCGCACGAGATTATTTGGTCCCCTCAAGAATCCAGGTATTTACTACTGTTCAGATTTTGACAACCTCACAATTATGCTTTTTAGTCATTGATACTCAAAATGGTAACAAAAGACTATGACCTTAAAACTCCTCAGCTTATCTCTGGTATCAGGTCTGTTTCTCAAAAATGCCCAGTCGTTTGGAATAATATATTTCATAAACATAACATTGAGAACAACTTCTAATTTTGTTTCTTTAATTATCAGTTTGCTCGAGATAGTTTCTTCATGCTAGTGTTCTTAAATTAGTTCTTATGTGACTTCTGAAGCCAGGAACATTCTACGCATTGCCTCAAAGTCCACAGCTCTTTAAACAAATGCTTATGGTGGCTGGTTTTGATAAATATTATCAAGTAGCGAGGTAGGATTTTCTTTAATTAGTTGTTTAAACCTCTGTTGCTATCCAAGATATATTCAAGCTTTCATTACTTAATTGAACAGAAACGTAGTTTCTGACATGAGTTCTGAGATAGCTATTTGAGCTTTAGTATGATAAATACGTTCTGTTTCTTTTGATAGGACACAAGATTAGAAGTTATGATTCTTGTTTATTCAAAGTTATATATGGCGAATCCATCTTAAATGTTGCGCATGATGGTGATGCCATGTGCTGATTTTGGCAGATGTTTTCGTGATGAAGATTTAAGAGCTGATAGACAACCCGAGTTCACACAGCTAGATATGGAAATGGCATTTACTCCTTTAGAGGACATGTTGGCACTTAATGAAGATTTGATCAGAAAGGTTAGCTTTTATTGTTTGTTTTTAGAAGCCTTTCTATGAAAATACATTTTAAAAAATGCTACGTATTTACATATGCACATACTACCTACCCACACTCTCACACAGATAGACGCATGCACGTGCACACTACATACAAAGACCCTATCATACGTGGCCACGTGTATATTCATACAGTTATACATATAATAGTCTTGAGCATTTGCAAATGTTTACTGTGTATATATAGACTCAAATGCAAACAGATTCCTGCATGCCTATGAACATACACGCACATATATGCGTGGGCACACATACATGGAGGTAAGCAAGATTATGATAATTTATGTAAACTAATTAAAATCTTGGATTAATGCATTATCAGTTCGAGCTTCTAATAATGATGAAGATGCTATCTATGGACATGATGCCAAAAAACAAAGCCCGTTTTTATCAGAGCCCTATGGTCAATGGGTCAGTTAAATCAATTTTAAGCTATATTTTTATATGTCTGTCCTCATCTTTGGAAATGGTAAAATTATATTGAAAAAAATGGTAAAGTGACATTTTAATATTTCATTTTCCTTGCCCTTTTTATTTTGGACATCCAGGACGAGAATGAGAAACTAACAATTTACCTTCCTTTCCCTTCTCCTCCTAACTCCTAAACATCCCTAGTGGTTTTAAACCAACGATGTTGAAGATTTTGGAAGCAGGTAAACATATGGGAAACTAGTGGAGTGGAATTAAGGACACCAAAATCTTTCCAGAAAATCCACTTTAAGATCTAAAATTAGGGACAAAGAGATGGAAGTATACATTTGCAATTCCATTAATAGCTTCCTTTTTGAACTTTTTTAGCCGCTTAGCCCAAGCCTTGAAAATAGACAAGAGTTGTGGGTGATGGCTAGTATATAATTTAATCAAAGTATTTTGGATGAAGTTTTTCAAATCATACAGTTGCAAATTAAATCGAATGTAATGTAGTTAGGACCTAGGGGGCGGATGATTGACAACGGTTATGTATGAATCTGAACCACTGGGAAATTGTATAGGGCACAGGGTACTGATTGAATATTCATACAATTGCACTTTTTTTGTTTTTGTTTTTTGATGATGCCGATCACCTTAAATATATGCTCTTTTTCTGGGTGTAAATAGGAAGTGTTTGTTGCAGGTTTTTCTTGAAATCAAAGGAGTGGAGTTACCAAATCCATTTCCCAGGCTTACGTATGCGGAAGCAATGAGTAGATACGGTTCTGACAGGCCAGATACCAGATATGATCTTGAATTAAAAGATGTAGTGATCTTTTCTTTGACTTTCTCCTTAATACTTTGGGGTATTTTGGTTGCATATTTCTAGTTATTCGTTATAGAACATTAGAACATTCCCTTCATATTCACAATTTCTTTAATTAATAAAGCTTGCTCTAGTCTTGGGGTCAGAATCATTATTTTTTGTAATGTAGATTGGGTTGATAATGTTTTATTTATCTATCTCTCCTTATGAATTGATCTTGCTGAAATAAAAATTTCATTCGGCTGCAGGTATCGGAAATTTTCCTGGGATCTTCCTTCAGGGTTTTCTCTGACTCCTTGGACAGTGGGGGAATTATCAAAGTGTTGTGTGTACCTTCTGGTGCAAAAAGTTACTCAAATTCAGCTCTTAAGAAGGGTGATATTTACAATAAAGCTCTCAAATCTGGAGCCAAGGGTTTGCCTTTCCTCAAGGTCTTGGATAATGGTACAGAGATGAATCTTCGATCAAAATTTTCTTTCCTGAGACATGTTTGAAGCGTTCCATTACTTAATGTATACTTTGTTCTAGGGGAGGTTGAGGGGATCGCTGCTTTAGTATCAAGTATGGACCCAACTACTAAGGAGAGGTTACTAGGCCAGTGCTCTGCAGGACCAGGTGATCTTATCCTGTTTGCAGTGGGTCATCATGCATCTGTGAATAAAACTCTAGATCGTCTTAGAGTTTATGTCGCTCATGACCAGGGTTTGATTGACAATGTAAGTTGATGATCTGACCTATGTTCAAAAAGAAGAAATTCCTTGTCTAAATCCTTCCTCTGATATTTGTATTGTGTATGAGTAGGGCAAGCATTCAATTCTATGGATCACTGATTTTCCAATGTTCGAGTGGAATGACCCAGAGCAGAGGCTTGAGGTATGTTCCGTTTTTAATTAAATAATCCCGCAATTATTTCCTTTGCTATTGACTTATCTGGTTCTGCAGTGTCATAATTACTCTGTCACACACACGCGCGTGCACGCACGCACACAAACACAAGAGACTTAGGTGATATGGGTTGGCAAATTTTCCTCTCTGATTAATGAATGATTGCTATTCAGTTTATTTTACCCCTTTTTTTGTTGAGGGTGGGGTGTTTAGGTTTCTCTTCTGCAGCCATGCTTAACATTGCTATTTAGTGCAGGCTTTGCATCATCCTTTCACTGCTCCGAACCCTGAAGACATGAATGATCTTGCTTCTGCTCGGGCCTTGGCTTATGACATGGTTTACAATGGGGTGGAGGTAATTGAGTTATTTCAAAAATCTAAATTCTCTACCTTGTGCAGGCTGAAGCATGATGATTGTATCACCGTTGTCTATATTGATAACTGCTAGTTTTATTGTGTCTATCTTTTAGATTGGTGGAGGAAGTCTGAGAATTTATAAACGTGAAATACAACAAAAGGTTTTGGAGATTGTTGGCATCTCAATGGAGCAGGTTAGTGGGCCTATAATCCAGTGAAACAGTGAGTGGGATTTCGTTTGTTTGATGATATAAATAAGCTGAGCTTTGACATAGACATGCACTGATGCCTTGAGTCAACAAACAAGTCCAAATTTGTTGGATACATTCATGTTTTGTGTATTGGGAATAATAACTGTCTTTGTGGAAAAATTTAGTTGAGTGCTTTTTTTTCCCCAGTGATCTGATCCACTTAAAATGCTATTTGTTGTTGCTATTTTGGTTTTACCATTGTGGAAGATGTGAGTTTTTCAGTGACATGATTCCGTTGTCTTTCAGGCGGAAGCAAAGTTTAATTATCTTCTCGAAGCACTGGAGATGGGGGCTCCACCGCATGGTATGCAGCTTTTTCATGTCTGCAAATTAAGTCATAGCCCCAAATAAAAACAAAATAATTGTTAGTTGTAGTGTGAGTGGATTGGTTAATAATGGTGAAGATGCAATGTGGCAGGTGGAATAGCTTATGGATTGGACAGATTGGTGATGTTATTGGCAGGGGCTGATTCCATCAGAGATGTCATTGCTTTCCCAAAAACCACCACTGCTCAGTGTGCCCTCACCAGAAGTCCTTCAGAGGTGGATCCTCAGCAGCTCAAGGATCTCTCACTTAGACTCTAGATTCTACTTCACTTGTTTAAAATTTTCATTTTCAATTATTTAATTCCTGTGCCCAGCTTGTACTTACTCATATGGGAGCCCTAACCACTCTCACCCATGTTGCTCACTGAGGATTCGTTGATGTTAATGTGAAGACGAAAGTAATGATTAGTTCAAGCAAAAGATATGATCGCCATCGTCAGAAACTATTTATTCTCAATATTCCTACATTTGATCCTTAATATAAGAGCTAGATAATGAATTTGAGGAGACTAAAAAAGTTAATTAAGTTAGTTATTTATAATAAATATGTATTTTTTTTTTAAAGTATTTTTACTAATCATATGTATTTGAATCATCTTTTCATACAAACCTTTAATATCTGTACCCGTTATAAAAATTACTTTGAGAAAAGATAAATAAATATAAAAGATAAAGTGGATTGAGATTTTATATTTATAATTAAATTGAACCTCAAACTAATTTTTATATTAATAATTGGTGGTAATAATATCTCTTTGGGTAAATGTTGTTGATATGAATTTGAGTAGTATTTTAAATTAACCCGAGGCTGGAGAGCTAAACATTTACGTTCATCATACGTTCAAACCTTTGCACTCGGGAGTCAATCCTATGGCTATGCCTCGGGTTATAAAGTTGATTTCTATTAAAAAAACTCATCTGCTGTCTTCTTTAAGCCGCTAATAATAATTATTGCTTCAGTACTGTGTTATCAAAAAGTGGACCTGCAACATGACATCACCAAAATGTGTCATCTTCTAAAATTTTAAACTCGGGAATGATAATTCTTCGATGGGCGGCCACACTCTACTCGATAATTAACGAATTATCATTTATATATATATAAACTGTAATACGTATACGAAATTCTGGTTGTGTAATATTGGAATCTTTTTTAAGTGGTGTTGCTGTATTATTCCGATACCATCATTATTATGGTGAGGAAGCCAGCTTAAAATGAAGGTGAAGATGGAGCATATATGTATATATGTGGATTCCAGCTAATATACGTATAATTATTATTATAAAAGTTACGATAAGGAGAAGGAAAGTTGAATAATGACCATGAAATTGCAGTGGGGAGCAACATTATTGCAGAAAATGAAAGCACGAAAGCAAATCTGATGCTGCATTGGGATTGGCCGATGCTACAAATTAATCATACGTACCTTTCAACACTAAATCATTAATGACCTTGAGCCACAATTACTCTATTTTTTTAAAAAAAATTCGATCACGCATGCCATAATATTATCAATCCAATGGTCATTGTATAAGACAAATTTCAGGAAACAACATTTTCATAAGCTGTCTAGATAGTGTGCATCCAATGAACATTTTTCTTGATTTTTTGAATCTACATATTTCAATATTTTTATTATTGTTTAGTATTTCAAGTTTTCCTCCATTGAAATCTAAAAGCTCGTGGGTTCCCCCTCTGTCTTTAACATCAATCGCAGATATCTGCAAAGGTGGATGTTTTTGAATTTATAGTTAATTTATTCTTCTAATTCTTAAGGTATATATTTTTTTTTGAAATCAAAGAATAATGTTCTAGACCTTGAGATATATATATATATATATATATATATATCTATATGAACAAATAATTTCTCTTTTCGTTGTAGCACATACGGTGGCAAGTGGTTTGATAATACTTAATTTGTATAAAGGTAAACAATAACATTATTATTAAACGAATCCGTAGTAAATACGATGTCTAATTCTTATTAATTTATAGTATAGCAATAACATATTGTTCAGTTGATTGAGCACTACAACCTAGAACGCACATCTCAGCAAGCTTTTGATGAGGTGGTAGAGTGCCTAGGATCAAATCGTTTCGTGGTGGTTAAGATATGTAGGTATATATATATAGATATAGATATCTCTCTATATATAAATATATACGTGTGCGTGCACATATATTTTGCTTGTATACATATATTTATCGTAATTGTGTATGTCTGTGTAGTTAGGATTTTCAAAAAGTGAAGGGACGATGGTTGCATTGGTATAAAGTAAGTAATGATAATTATACATTTTGTTTTTGGTTGCCGAAGGAAGTAATGATAATTATAGACTTTGGGAAGTGATGAACGAATACGTAAGTTGGTAGGGATGAGAGGTAGGTAGCCTAACAAGTGTAGAGTGTAAAGTTAAAGTGAGATAGGAGGGAGTAAAAGGAAGACGCGTGGCATGAGAAGAAGTGAAGTATATGGCAAATTTGGATTCGAAGAAGATTAATTAATTTAAAGTGATGATAAAAGAGAGGTTTTAATTTAACGTTTCTAAGTACGAAGGGAAAAGTGAAGAAGGGAGCAAGACTTTACAGAAAAAAGTCAAGCACGGACTTCATCTTCTCCTACAAAGCGAAAACGGCATCTCCGAATCGAAACGCCATATACGTCCATATAGCATCACGTTCACGAGTTTTGAAGACTAAGTGTATGGTTCTCATCCCTATTCACTGGCTGGCCATAAAGCCAGCTCAATTAAATGAATCGATTTATTATATCACTTGCTTTCCATATTCATCCATTCATTTCTTGACACCTACCCCCCCTAACCCCACAGGGTTTGGCCAGCTACATTAAACTTGGTCATCTAATTAATTTGTGTGTGTGTATTTATATATATATTTATATATATATTTCCCCATGCAATTGTTATATATATATATATATATATATAGGCTTTTCTTTTCTTAATTAAGATATATGAGTGATGTATGAATTGACAGAGGGATTGAAGAATTTAGTGGAAGAGATTGGATGAAATGAAATATGAAAGGATGAGAGCCACGAGAGGAGTTTGTTGACTAAAGTCTCGAAAGAGAACAAGAACGTAGTGATCCCATCCATCCCTCCCAACTTTCTCAAATGTATTACTCCTCCGGTAGGACCTAATTCTTGAGTTGGTTTTGGTTCTAAATATAAGACTCATTTTTCATATTTATCAATTTTCTCTAAATTATCCCTATAGATATTCCCTCAACTATAATCAAATAGAAGAGGGAGATGGGGTATTAAAAAAGATGATTATGGTATTTTAGGAAAAATGTGTCACTTTTCTTATAATTAACTAACTTACCTAACTTTCTTAATCTAATCAAATTAGTTAAATGAGTCTTATATTAAGGATCGGAGGAGTATTAGTTATTACGTACGTTAGAGAAAACACACCTTACGACGTACAGTACAAACACAAATTAAAGAAAGAGCCATAATCTAATCTAGTGGGCGGGCTTAGTCCTCCATGGTTTCAAATAATTATTTATTTAATTAAAAAGTCATGAATTTAAAAGTTTAATTTCATCGTCATCTTATAATCTCCATGAAACCCTCACAAGATTCTGTTCCAGTCGCTGTCTTTGAGTTGATGGACTTAAAGTAATATAAGCTTCCTCCGCCACTGTATTTCTACGCAGACATTTAGGTGCATGGTTCTTCAATAGCCCACCCAGCATCATTTTATTTGGAAAATGTAACCCCCTAATTAAATAAGCCTACCATCCGCCCCAACTTCCACGTCTTCAAAATTCTGCCACATTATTGCCCACTATTTTCATTGATATTTGAATATTGTCTAGTTAATTGAGGATAGTTCATCAAAAACATTTGATGCATTTACACGAATTTGAATTTGAGACCTTGTGCTTGAGCAACCAAAGTAATGATGATCATTGAAAATTTTCTTTTTAAATTTTTAAACACACTTTTACCCAGAAAAATGATCGCTGAGAGAAAATGTGTTATTTTTTGGTTCTCTGCTCTTTTCTCAGGATTTTATTTACTTGAAGTCAATCATATAACCGGTGCGAAACCATATTCAATTGGTAGTGTTGATGTTTTAGAAAAGTAGCCAACTCTTTGATTGAAAAACAGTAAAAGAAGAGAAAAGTAAACATTGACCTAATGAGCTAAAGTAGTATGTCCGACACATAAATTAATTAAAAGAAATTTTTCTTACATAAAATTTGTTCTTTAAATTTATGTGTTGATATTGATATTATATTGACTCACACTCACCTCTAAATTAAATTGTGAATCAACTCTCCCTATAACAGTGACGTCTTAGGTTGATGAGCTTTAGCCATACACGCACGACCTACCAAAAACCAAGTCAGCGCGGCCTATAAATAGAATGCCCCTTTCTTTCTTCATTCACAAGCAATCCCAAGGAGAGAATCCCCTCTTCTTAACTACTCCTATATATCTTGCCATTTTAGACCCTTTGCCTTCAACATTTATTTATGATCAATATGGACAAGCTTGCCTTCAACTGTTCCTTAGCTTCCATGTTTCTGATCATTTACTCTTTGATAGTTTTGCATGGTACTGAAGCTTCGTTATCATGCCTCCATACTCCATACCCTCATGTGTGCAACCACTATATGACCTCTAATACACTCTCTACTTCATCATCTTCTTCTTCTTCCTCCTTCCATGATATGGCTCTGAAGGTCACTCTGGACCAAGCCATTGAAGCCCAAAAGCTTGTCTCAGCCATGAAACTGGGCAATCACTTCACAGACAATAAGCGAGCCAAGTTAGCCTGGACAGATTGCTTAGAGCTATATGAAGACACTGTTTACCAGCTGAACCGTTCTGTTACGAGCTCCAAAAATCTCAACGATAGGCTCACCTGGTTAAGTGCCTCCATTGCCAACCACCAAACTTGCCAAAATGGCTTCCGTGACTTCAACCTTCATGCACACTTCAGCTTCTTCCCAAATATGTTAACTAACTTCTCCAAATTGATCAGCAATTCCTTAGCCATTACCAAAGCCATGTCGACGACGTCGTCGTCAGGACAAATGGATAATAATGGTGGGAGAAAGTTGTTGTTCGAAGGATTCCCCGACTGGGTTTCGAGCTCGGATAGGAGGCTTCTTGCGGCGGCAGCGGGGGAGGTGGCGCCAAGGGCTGATGTGGTGGTGGCGAAAGATGGGAGTGGGAACTATAAGACGATAATGGAGGGAGTGGAGGCGGCAAGTAAGTTGAGCGGCGGCGGAGGGAGGAGAGTGGTGGTGCACGTAAGAGGGGGGTTGTATGAAGAGAATGTGGAGATTAAGAGGAAAATGAAGAACATAATGATCGTTGGAGATGGGATTGATGTTACCGTTGTTTCGGATGGCAAGAATGCCCAAGAAACTACCACTTTTCGTTCTGCTACATTTGGTAAGTCTTATGTTTATGTATTGTGAATCCTTTTATTATGTGTATATATGTATAGCCTAAAACTGGTTTTTGATATATTTGTAAATGGAACAGAAACGAGCTTAGCATATATAATAGATAAAATGTTTAAACTTGTCAAATAAGAACACACACACACACACACACGTAACATTATCTCAATGGATTTGAATTCTCTATGCATGGAGTTAGTCTGTAATGTACTAAATGTTCTATTTTCATGTTCAATTTTAATGATCATTTTTGAAAGATGTATAATTAAAATATCATATGCATTTTTATGATAAAAATATTGAAATTATTTAAAATTTCAAAATGTATAAATTAAATCCAGACTATCCAATACAGGTGCTCTTAATATATATTGCGGGGACGACAGTTCTAAATCCTCATAATGATTAGAAATTAATTATAAATTGATTTTTTGACCAAATTATTTAGTTTGGGCTATATTCAGGCAAAGAGAAAAAGATTTATATCAAGAAAAATTAGTGCTCCTAGGCCAGAAAAAGAATTAATTCCACAAGAGAAGTAAAATAATTGAGGAATTATCTAAATATGATTATCACCTGGTCCCACATAAGAATGGGACGAAGAAGTACTACTTTTGGGTACCATGAATTATCTAAATTTCATCAAAACAAAGAATGGGACGAAGAAGTACTACTTTTGGGTACCACGAATTATCTAAATTTCATCAAAACAAGTGACTTTTCTAACTTCTCATCAAGCGAAACAAACAGCTGGATGAGAAAATACCGAAACAAACATCTAAATATTTGATATTTCGAAACAAGGGGGAAAAAAAAATTCTGCCATTAATTTTTCATGAACTCACTTGAAGAATTCATCTCTTTGATTTGTTATAGCTGTTTCTGGAGACAACTTCATCGCCCGCGATATAACCTTCCAGAACACCGCCGGGCCTGAGAATCACCAGGCGGTGGCTTTTCGCTCCGGCGCCGACCACTCAGTGTTCTACCGGTGCAGCTTCAAGGGCTACCAAGACACTTTGTACGTCTACTCACAGCGCCAATTCTACCGTGACTGCGATGTCTACGGCACCGTGGACTTCATCTTCGGCGACGCCGTCGCTATCCTCCAGAACTGCAACATCTACGTGAGAAGGCCGACGAGCAACCAGCAGAACACCGTGACGGCGCAGGGGAGATCCGACCCAAATGAGAACACCGGCATTATTCTCCACGGCTGCCACGTGACTGCGTCATCAGACATGAGGCCGGTGCAGAGCTCGTTCAAGACCTTTCTGGGCCGGCCGTGGAAGGAGTACTCAAGGGTGGTGGTGATGAAGAGTAACCTCGACGGCGGGCTGATCGACCCGGCGGGATGGATGCCGTGGAGTGGAAGCTTCGCTCTTGAGACTCTATATTACGGCGAATATATGAACGCAGGAGCAGGAGCAGCCACTGGTGGGAGGGTGAAATGGCCAGGCTTTCATGTAATCACGAGTCCGCTGGAGGCCGGAAAGTTCACAGTTGGGAATTTTCTGGCCGGCGAGTCGTGGATTGCCGGCACCGGCGTCCCTTTCGATGCAGGGTTGTGAGGAGAAGATGAAAGTGGCGGTGGCGGTGGCGGTGGAAGAGAGGAGTTGGTGGTTATTATATGAAAAAAAAAAATAGTAAAGGGAAAGGGTGGATAGTGACTGTGGCTGTATGATATGAAGAAGACAAGAAAGGAGAGAAATTGTCACGTAGCATGACTTTGTGTGCGATGTCAGGGTTTCGTTGTATAGACGGTACAGAAGGTTGCCATATATTCTTTGTGTGTTTCGTTGTCTTTGATGTGTATGGAGTGACTGTTAAACTTATCCAACCGCAAGAAGCTAAGGCAGGAAAATATATGATATAGGAACATATATTAATATAACCACTAAACTTGTAATAATACGTTTAATTTTTGTGGAAAAGTGACCCTTGAATATGTGAACAAAGTTGTAAGGATATATGTATGAAACTGTAATATAAGTAATAGTTGATTGTATATTCTCTCTGGCCTCTGCTTTCATAATCATAGCCTAGTTTCGTAGTCTTGTGCATTCGTGCCTACTGTCGAGTCTTCTCCTGGCATTTGATTTAATTTCGTTTCATGTGGTTTTGAATATTTAGAAGTACTTCTACAAAATTTTTTTAATGCATACGAGACATTTGAAGTTTCTTTATCGCCTCAAAGTAGGTTAATGAGCATTTGTTAAGCTAGGGGACATGAGGAAGGGTTTAACTAATTATATTATGTCCGAGTTTAACTAAATATGCGATTAATTAGTTGATCAAGTGGTTAGTTAACGTTCATTCGGAGGAGAAGTGTTTAAGCTAAGATTAATTTGTTTTGGAAACCTGACTAGATTACATGAGGCGTTGATGATCCAATTATACATGGTTGGTGCATTTGTATGTGGTCCTTTGGTTTGATGATAACAACAATAATCAAATTGGCAAGACAAGTCAGCGGCCAGCTGCTTGCTGCAAGCAACCTGTGAATACTGAATAGAACCTCTCTGGCTCACAATTATGAAAGGTTTATTACAGAAAAAAGGAGAGAAGGTGGTCGAGAGGTTGTGACTTACAATCAGATTAGATATGTTTTGAGTTGAGAGCTGCATGACCCACCTTTTATTCCTAATAATTCTCTTTTCCATTGGTGGCATTGGCTTCTATCAATCATCCATTATGTGTGTGTGTGTGTGTGTGTGTGTTTTTCAATGAAAAAGAATAACATCAAATTCATATCCATTTCATGAGAGTGCTGGAAAAGTTCAAAAACAGGAGGTTGGCATTGTGTGGATAGGATTATTATCGTATTTATGCTTCATATTTAATTCAAAATGGATTAGTCTTGGTCATCAGGTCACAACTTAACCACATAGATTCGTTCGAAACATCGATATGTCAAAATCCTAAGAGTTGTCTTATTTTTGTCAACATATGTGGTATTAATGAAGATTCTACGATTCCTGAGATTGTTAATTTGTTGTGGTTACTGATTTACTCTCTTTCGACCACCCTCTGCATTGCTGTGTTAATTAGCCTCAGACATTTGTAGCTGTTCCGAGGCATCAGTAAGACTTTCAGATATTCCAAAAACGGTAAATAGAAAACAACATTACTCTAAACTGTAGAAGCCAGAGAGCACACTTTAGAAAGCACATTCTCTGCTATATACGTGGAACCAGCGTATATATTACGCCCTATATGAATTTTAACTCATTCTTATAAGGCACCTTCATGTACTTTAATTTAACCGACAGTGTCCGCCTCTTTGAATAAATGGCTTTACGATGCCTTGGGATGAATCCATATTTATATGTTTTTACATAAAAATATGACCTCCCCCCCCCCTCCCCCAAAAAAAAAAAAAAAAAAACAAAAAGGCGGGCGCTGTTATTTTGTCGTTTCTCAAGCATTTACTGACCGAATGACTAATTTACTTTTATGAACCCCTTCCGCTTTAAAAAGGAGTTCTTGATCCAGTTTTGACTTTTCAATGCTTAGTCAAGAAGGTAGAAGAAAGGGTGGGTTCGCATAACTTCCAAGTAGCGACCTTATATCGATTGGCCCATGAATCTAATTAGTCAACGATAATTCATTTCCAAAATTAACCTGGCTTTTGTGGTGAAATATTGGCCTTCAAGAAAGAGAAGAGGAGGGGAAAAGAATGGACGAGAGAGGTTATACCAACGACGAGGAAGCAGTATCTTGAGAATACGTATCAGCAAGATTTTCAAATTGAGATTATTTAGCACGACAAAATTTAAGGTAACCCTGTAGGAACAGTGAATGACAACAGAACCATAAACGAGGGCTTTTCCTTGTCACAGGGTTATAAACTGGGTTAAACTCGGGAAAGAGGGATGACTTTGTGGGAAATAAATCTGAGCCAGCTTCAGCTGTATGCATCATGTAATGACAGTAGGAGCTGATCGCCCGGTGAATTCTTGCATCTTTGAAAGTTTCAATGCAACCTCCACCTGTTCACATAAGTTTGCGCTCATCAGTCAAGGTTTGCAAATAGTGCAATGACGAATTTTAATCAAAATTTCAAGAATATGGACCAATGTTTAGATAGTTTGTGAAAGGTCTTTGGTTCAGTCCTTCACAACGTCAGTACTGAATAAGAAAAGGACAAAACCTTACAAGAGGGGGAATGTGTCACTAAAAATTGAAAGAAAAGGTTAAAAAAAAAAAAAAAAAATCTTACCAGCGGGGCAAGTGCTTCTTGTGAAAGTCTCCCAGTTTTTGATGAATCCTTCTCATATTGCTCAATGTACAGGCGAATAGTAGCACCGACTGATCCAGTTCCAGACAGGCGGAAAACCTACTTGCATTTGAAGAAGGGAAAGGAATAAAGTAAGCCTCATAATAATGACAGACAAAGGAATATTTAGAAGTATTTTGCCTTATTTCCATCAACCATTGGATGGATTTATAGGCATCAAGCAAGGATGAACAGTCTAGATAAGCAAAAAAATAAAAAACATATTACCCCAGTAATTATTTACGATTCACATTCAACTAGGATGTGAGGGCTAACTTTGGATATTAAAGTTCTTGCAGACTTTATGTGTGGATGTCATGCAAGTGATAGATGAATTGAAAATATAAATTCAAGGGAATATACATTCGCAAGTCACAACAATTTGTCTATCATCGACAATTCTGCAAGTCCACTTGATGTTCATTCTCCCAAAAACAGTAAGAAATATTTCAGAAGTAAACTTACCAATCGTGATCCATCCTCAAACAAGTATCGGATGCCCTGATGTGATGATATGGAACCATCGACAGGATCTTTGTATTCAAATTCATCAGCACGGACAACATTCGACACATCTGACCTTACTCCCTTAATTATCCTAAAGAGACGGAGAATGAGATTATTCAGACCACTGATTGATTTGGAAGTCGCCCACGAATGTACAGGTAAATAGTAGACTGATCATTAGAATTTCCATCAAATATCCGATTTCCTACTTAACTCTCATGTCTCAAACGAACCTGACGTTTTATTGCCATAACAAATGTATATTTAGAGATTGACAAAGGATCTTGCCCTTGTACAATGAGCATTACATAATGAGCCGTTGACTTGTTGAACTATTTTGATGGCGATCAATCTCTTGCTTGTCAATCATTCAACTGAGGCTCTTCTACTGAGGTTTTATTTTTTACTTTTTTTTTTTTTTGTGAAATAAGTTTTCTAAGGATATTAGTGCCCATACCTGGCAGTTTATTGAAGTAGATATACATGATTCACGTAAAGTAGACAACAATTTTCAAGCGCCAATAAGATTAGAGAAAACTTTTTTTTTTTGGGGAAAAAAACTATTAAGCTTAGGTATGTGCTTGTTTTAGTCAGAAACGTAACATATGCAAGGAAATACTAAGGATTAGCAGGAGGGAACATAAATACTACAGAAATAAGGCCCATTCTTTAACACAAAACGTACGATTAAAGAATATCGTATCATCCTAAGATGAATTGAGCAATACCTTAAAACATAGGAAAAACACGAAGACAATTTCGGATGAAAATAAATTTTAAAAACCAACATACTATGGACCACAAAATAAGAAAAATAAACAACATACTGATTGACTTCAGAAAGAGACGATTGCAGTTTGGCCAAATATGCCATCAGTTCCTTCGCTGCCCCTGCATCCACATTCTTTAAAAACACAAAAAAAAAAAAAAAAAAGAACAGGTTAAGTGATCCGTGAGATGGATTACAAAAAAGTACAGCAAATGTAATTGTAGCATACTTCATAGTCATATCTAGTATAATAATGACGCCCATAAGTAGCCCAATGCTTGCGAACTATGTCTTCAACTGTTACAAGCTTGTCTCCGCCAAGATTATCTTTGTTTTTATAAGCAAGGATAGATAGCCAGGCCAAAACTGCCCATATTCCATCTTTCTCACGAATATGGTCCGAACCTATTTACAAACAAAATGGAATTATTATGCAATAGAACAAGGATTGAGAATTATTGAAGTCATCGTACAGTCCAGTTAAGCTAACAGCGGATACTTGCCAGTTCCAAAACTTTCTTCACCACAAATTGAACACAGCCCAGCATCCATTAAATTACCAAAGAACTTCCAGCCGGTGGGAACCTGACTCAGAAGAAGTAATATAGAATTATAATTCGTTATGAGGCCCAAAAAAAGTCCATCTAACTACCCCAAAAACATTTACGAATTTCAAGCACGGAGTGACAGTTTACCTCAAAAAATTTTAACTTCAGGTGTTGGGCTACAACATCCAGGGCAGCAGAGGTTGGCATACTCCTATAAAGCATATAGCCCAAAATGTTAACTTGGCACTAATTTTAAGCAATCAACCTCAAGTTGCTAGAAGTACTTTCAGATACAGCAATTGTCACTTATAGTTCTTTAACGCAGTACTTCTTAAGGAAAGCTTACTTTGCATAAACTACTCAGGAAAAGCATGATAACTTCCATAATTGAATGTGTCCGACAAACAACATTAGTCATGAACTTTTCCTGCCTGCAGCTAGTACACCTTTTGGGGAGCTTTTGAAGCAAGATATTATTGATGGGTTTATAATGGCTTTGGATCATCTTTTAATGCCATACTTTCTCAAGATTATAATGCATTTTCTTTCTTAAATTTCTAGACCAATCACATCCAGTGGCAAATAACAGTTTTAGTTCATATATTTCGTATTCACTACTCTCTGGGAGCAGCAAAGTATATACGTTCTCAGTCCATCCTAGTTAAACAGGCCTTGAACACTTGGTCCATTGAACCATCTATGAACTCATGCTGTCCTTTAAAATAAAATGGTGGTAATTAAAATCGATTGAAATTCACAAGATCAACCATGCTTGAGATAACAGAAAAGAGAGCGCTTCCTGTTTTGACAATTGTTTGAATCCAGAAATACCCACCAGAAGTAGATAACCAACAAATTTGAATATTCTGCTTCTAGTATAAAATGCGCAATGAAAAAAAAAAATGGTAGGTTCAGAATACTGGGTAAGCGGAGAAATATATCCTAACAAGGAGCTTTCATCCATTCGATTAACCTACAGATGCATCGTCATGCCCATTAAAACGATGTTATTTCTAATAGCGAGTTTATTTCAAAAAGTTTGCCAGCATAATCAAACGTAATTTTGCAACGACCAATTAGTTACTACAGAATTAATTATTATTAGAATACAAAATTTTAAACCCTGCTAATACCCACATTCTTACAAGCATGTTCATAGATAAGGAGTGCGTGCGTGTGCGTGCGTGTGAGAATGAGAGAGAGAGAGAGAGAGGAACCAAAAACTACCTGGCAACGCCTTTTAAGCCACCAGAAAAGTAGGGTATAGACTCTACAGCATTTGCAGCAATGATGGCCACTGAATCTGACGGAGTAACAAAAAACCTAACAGAAAAAAAGGTACGTGATAAATTATAAGCTGAAATAGAAGATCTGGATATATGATTAACCAAGGTCACTACTGCCCACCTTTTACCAAGTATCATGTTACGATCTGCATCACCATCAGCAGCAGCACCAAACTCTGGGGGCTCACCTTGTGGGTCTGATTTGCCCAATCCCATGCGGTTAACCAACTCCTTTGCATATGTCAAATTAGGATCTGGATGTCCACCTCCAAAGTCTTCCTGTATCAAAGAAAATCATTCACGAAAGTTAAAAACTTGAGCTTTTATAAAGTTTTGCTCTGATGAATGGACTCTGTCAACAAGAAAATAGGACCTTTGGTGTACAGTTGAGTAAAGAGCTTTCTTGTGCGCCAAGCTCTTCCACAAAAATAGGCTTTGCATAAGCTCCAGCAACACCGTGTAGAGCATCGTAGCTTCAACAGATCAAGGAACTCATTTTTCAAGAGAAAGAACATAACCAAAAGGCAAGAAGATTATTTCATGTCACACGCTTAGACAAATTCATTCACAAAATATACCAGAATGTGAATTTGGGAGATGATAGTAGTTTCCTGATGGACTCGAAATCAAAAATTGACCTGTGAAATTGTAAATTGAGGTTAGAAAAAGAACTGGAAAATGCATAGTATGGTCAGAATGTTTAGCTATTCCATGAAAATCAAGATTATCAGTTGTAAGGACTACCGACCAACAAATCAAACCAGCGCTACTTGATAATCAACAACAGAAAGAGCATAAAATTAATTAAAGCGAAGTTTTGCAGCACGAAGTGATTTTTCTAACATTTTGTTCCTTCCAAATTGTGTAGTTTCTCTGGGTCAAGTGGACATAACATAATATCATGCAATACTGCCTTCATATATAAGAGGAGAAAGTAAGACATGGATCCCATATATAAATCTTACTTCATCAATTTGACATAATCACTTGCTGAATCAAAAACCTCAACGTCAAATTGTCCTTCAGGTCCTGTGAAATTTGTAACACCTGTTGTAGCAATATCCACCTGAGCAAACAAATCAAGAATTGGCATGACTGTTCAAGTAATGCAAACACGCCACAGTGTCAGTGAAAATATAAAGGGAAAATTGACAAACAGGTTTTGAACATTACATCAGGCAGATCTTCAGCAATGAAGTACTCCTTAATTGTTTTAGTGTTCTCATAGATCTTGTTAGTAATTCCCTCTGGAGCTGGCCCACCATTTTCCATGTTATATTTAATTCCAAAATCCTGTATTATCAAAACCAAATGAAGATCCAGAGTCAACGTTATATCAAACAAGTTCCCACCATGGCAACAAACAAGAATACAAGATTGTTATTTCTGAATCATTTCATTAACGATTACTTCTCAATGCAAGCTTTAGAAATATCTATTCATGCAATAAGCTTCAAATATCAGATCCTAGAGCCAAATATCATCAGAATCAGTAATGCAAATTTCATTAGTTAAAAATAGATTATAAAGAACAAATGGCAGCACCCACCTCATCAGGACCACCAGGATTGTGACTTGCAGTCAATATAAATGCACCAGTTGCCCTGGATCCCTGTGATAAAGAATAGAATTTTGGATGCAAAAGTTAGGCTTTGAGTCAAGGAAATAGATTGTTAATTCTATTTGTATGTCATCACAAAATTGTACACTTTCCTTTTAAAAGAATAAGCAAGGATAAACAAATGCAAGTTACAGACAGATAACTTACATCAGCTCCAGCTCTCTCACGTATAACAGCAGATACAGCAGGAGTTGAAAGCAATCCATTTTGACCAACCCAAACACCTCTTACTCCATTTGCTGCTGACATTTTAATAATGATCTACAAATTCATCGAAATTATAAGTAATTCACTAAATGATATTGACATTAAGAAGTTAGAATTCAATATTTATATATATGGCTAAAAGGGGACCTGAATAGCTTCCTTTGAAAAATAACGACCATCGCCAGATACAACCAGTGTAGCACCTGCATATTTGCACACAATGCACGAAATACTTCAAACATGCAAAGGAAACAAGCAAAAGGAAAAATAGCAGTAATCAAAATATATGAAGCCGCACAATTTATTTAAAAAACCAGAAAGTGTAAAGTTTGTCACTTTTTTCAATATAGAGATTCATCCCATCAATTAGGTGAAACAATTTGGTCTACCACCTCAATAATAGAAAAAGAGAGCATTCGGCCCCACAGAGCAACAAAGCTTATACATGTTTCTAATATGGGCTTACGAAGGCAACGAATAAACGAGGCGAAGCAAAATCTTCAGGAAGTAAAGAGCAACATATCTTTGGCTAATCTCGTAAAATCTTGCATCAGAAGGAAACAAAATAAGGCTATTGCAAGTTACAACGAAAATAAGGCACGCTCTTGATTATGAGGCAACCTCTGACTTTTTCTGCTGTTAAAGCATTGAATGTTGCCTGAACAAAATTGTGCAAGTAGTGAGGTTCCTTGAAAACTTTCACCTGAGAAGACCGCCAACTAAACTGTTAGATTCATCAAACAACAAAGCAAGGAAAAAGATTTAATAAACCATGTGTAAGTGATGTTACAACAGGAAAAATCTGGTTAGGCCTCTCCTAATGACTCAAATTGCACGAAAAAAGATTATATTTATCATTATTAAATGGACATGATATTTTGACACAAAGAAATGTGCACATACACCGTGTCTGCATTAATAGAAGACGTAATGCCCTGTGAAGACCTAATGCCTTGCAGTTTAAGACTTAAGTTTGCTGACATAGCATAAAAAGTCAGACTTAGCTAAATAGATTGAATTCTTGGCATAGGATGCGGTAAAAGCAGGGAACATTAAAGCTGCATTTACGAACATCATTTATCATCCACTTAGCTTCTTTACAGCCAAAAGTAGAAGGGAGGAAAAAAGAAAAAAGAAAAGAACTTCCAAAGAAACAAAATCATAAAATCATTTCTTTTAATGAAACAATAATTGGAGTTTTGAAGAACAGAGGAGTGTACGAAAAAAAAAGGAAACATCGTCAAATGTGATAACAAGAAGATCACTTGATGTGCAATATTCAATAGACACACATTGGTTTGTACGTCCACAGCTAAGTGTTGATCTAATCATAATTGACACAACGCGAGGAGTTTAACATCGGCAGCAGCCAGCTACCACATCGAATCAGCACGATCGCAAAGAGACTCGAATGACAAGATTGGATCAGAAACAAGAAAAACTAACTATGATCTAGCAAATTCGAAGAAAAAGAGAGGGTCAAATCGAAGAAAAGGTTGGATCAGAAACAACAGAAAGAGTGGCGCAGGAAATGGAGAACGACAGAACATAGTAGAAGGCAACCTTCTTACGGAGACCAGAGGTACCAGGCTTCTGGCCATCGATGGGCCGAGTGCCTACCCGAGCAACCTTGAAGAGCACCATAGCTTCCAGAGCAACAAGAATTGCAGAACCTCAGATTGAAGAGACGGAAGAATGAAAGAGATGTCGTATTAACGGTGGAGAGGGAAGAGAAGGAGGACAAGTGTAACTTGGATGCGTCGTGTTGCAGCAAGAGAGTATAGTGCCCTGAAACGATGCGTGATAAGATGACGCTTGTGAGACCACGAGAATTTTAATATTATTGCGCACGTCTTCGACACATTCGCTTGTTTCGTTTCAGTTTATAGTTGTTTTCTTCCTTTTGACAACGGATTGCTTTATGACAAAGTTGGAGCCTAAACCGAGAGCGCTTCTCGCGGGAATTGACCGAAGTATTTCTATGTATTTTTAAGAGCTTCATCTGGTGAAAATTTATTTATATCTTTCGGGCCCAAAAATAAAATAAAAAATACGCAGACAGAAAAAACGGTCTAACGTATTTTGAAAGTGATTGTGTTTTAAGTTTTTAACATAAGAAATTAAGTTATACTAATTTCGGTTCTTAATATAAGACCTCTTTTGATTTTTATTTTAGTCCTAATTATAAGACCCCAATCCACTTTGTTTTTCATATTTATACATTTTTTTAAGGTAGTCCTTATAATAATAGTAGTTCTAGTTAATAAACCTGATTAGCAAAGATATTTTAGAGAAGACAATACTTATTTATTACAAATAATTAACTTAACTCATTTTTTTAATCTCTTCAAATTAGTTAACTAGCTCATATAATTAGGACCGAAGGTAGTACAAATGCAACTTGGTCAAAATATTATATTAATTGATATTGATATGTTAATATTTGTGGAATGTGCGGCTAGCTGAATTCTTCATCTGCTTTTCTCTCACGCACGTTAAACTATTAAAAGCAATTGTGATGAGCCTCAAGAGGGTGTTTGGATGAGACTAAATCATGGTTTGGAGAATAGTTTCTAGAGAACAAATTTTGTGAAGAATAGATTTTGTAAAAAAGTGATTCTAATAAAGTGAGAGTGTTTAGATAGTTGTTATCAGAAGTATTTTTTGTATGTACAAATTACTAGAAAAGGGTATAAGTAAATATGATAATTACATAAAAAATAGATTTTATAATATATTTTAATTTGAAGGAATAAAATTATTAAATATATAAGATAAATATGTTTTTAAAAAAATGAAAAAAAATTTCAAGGTCAAAAAACAAAAAGAATTAGGAAGAAGAAAGAAAGAGAAATGTGAAGACGTGAAGATTACAGTGATAGGGCTCCTTATTTTGGCTGACAACGTCCATGCTCATTCAAAAAGTGAAAATTTTTTGCTTACGACAAAACCATGGTTTTGATGGCCAAACTATGGTTTCATGACAAAATCATAGTTTCAAAACATTGAGGGATTTTTGGATATTTTTGGAGGCAAACTTTGATTTGAGCTTCAAAAATGCTTTTCTAAGATTTGCCAAACACTCCCTAAGTCTAATAAGAAAACTCAATCTTAAAAGACTGACTCATTAAAAAGAAGAGTCCATTAAACTTATAAACTCCACTACACTTATAAAGTCCTAATGAAAGACTCATAACGTCAATTTCCCTCATTCATTAATTTTTCTCATTTGTCAAGATTAATACAGTCACACCGTTAAGAATTGCCGAGGATAAATGGATCTCAATTCTCTGTTGGCGAAGTGACATCACATTACGCATACACTGGTTACAGACACCACATGAATACATGATATATTTTTTGTTTCTATATTCTACAGTCTCAACCTTTGTTTTTCACTCCAAAAATATAACAATTCACCAACATTCATGTTCTCCTCTGACTACACCAAACTGAACGAGGTTTGAGGGCCATGAAAAGGGAACCAGCCTGTCCATCAATTTTTCCAGAACTACAAAAATAGCATGATGACTCTTTCTAATTTCACTTAATAGTCTCTGTTTTAGAGTAGCAACTAATGACTTGCAATGGGCTTCCACCCAAGTCCTTAAATGTCCATGAGTCCATCCATGGCAAGCACCAGCATGCCCCTCTTACTAGACTGCAACGACTATTCTGACAAGGCCCGGAAATTATCCACCTATTCATGCAACAGTGGCTAGTTTACTGGATTTCTTGATTATTTTATCCTACGACCAACTTGTGGAGAGAGGAAGAATTAAAAAAAAGGGAGGAATTCAAGGACCTCATGTTCCATCTTGCTGGTAAAACTAAAAGGCAAAGAACGAAGAATGGCCATCCAAATTTTATGTTCTCAATTCTGCCTTCAAATGAATGCCATCTTTCTGATAAAGAATGATCAACCATGGGTGCCCAGAATAAGTGGCCTGCTTCGATTTGTCAACTGTTCACTTCCTGTGCTTTTAAACCTAGTTGATCCCATCCCATATATCTTACTCATCCATATTTCTTCCAGTATATCTTTTTCAAGAGCTTTCACTTGGTTGTTCAAGACTTCAAGCACCACCTGCCTGGTACGTCGTCGCTCATTAATCATCCTGTGGTAGATCACAATTTGACAAATGATTGCAGTTAACATCAGCCTCAAGTCTACCAAACGAATAACCGAAACTTGAACAAGCCTAAGGCAATGTTTTCATGTGGTTCAGGATAATTGATATCGTATGAGTTCCATAAACACGTCGATAGTAATCACTCGCCACGTCTCATCATGGGTTGAGTTTTGAAAACTTTAAACTGTTACACAGTACGTTCTTCAAAGCTTGTTAAGCATCTGGTGGCTGCAAGATTATATCATCTCAAGCAAGTGTACCAGGATTGGACAGATCACGGAATGTGCGTCCATAAGCAAACAACGAGGGTTTCCGAGCAATTCCACAGAGCCAAGTCAGCAAGCAACTCCTTCACACACAGTTCGGGAGGCTCCCATGTTTGAAGAATGGTTCAACAACTTGTCCGCTGATTTATTCCTCTTTTTTTTTTGGGGGGGGGGGGACTGCTGATGTATTCCTTGTCTTTTTTTTTTTACCAGACTGATGTATTCCTTGTTGAATCGTTCAAAAGAAAACAAGACTAATGTTTCTCTATTTCTCTCTCTCCAGCATCAAAATGGAACACGAAATTCCTAAGGGTGCGTTTAGACGGATGCCAAAAGTCTGCAATCGACACAACCCCATTACAAACAAGGATACTCCTTTGCACCATTATTTACGAGGAAAAACAATGGTGTTGTCAAATTACTCAAATACATTACAGATTTTTAGCCGTCAACATGTAGCTTGGATTCAAGACCAATGCATGACAAGGAAACTAAGAAGCTCAGAGTGAATAATCCAAAAACACTAAAAATCGCCACATTTACAAAGCTGAGGTAATCTAACAAGAAAAATAAACAAAGAAAGTACCATCCAAAAAGCAACAAGCAGAGGCGTCCCTCATTCACTCCAATACTTCTCATCACCATCCTTGTCATCTCCACGCTCATCATCAGAGCTCTCTTCCATCAAGCTCGTCTTAAATATCAGCACATCCTCCACCGCGACACTTCTAAATAACCCCACATCTGTAGCACCAGACACCATGCTATATCCACGTGACCGTAGATCCAGGGCCGGATCATGCGGCATCGCAAACCCAGCTAAGTAAGCTCCGCCGCCACCGCCATTGCTGTCCTTCTTGCTCTCGAGCACTGCTTTCTCAGCCGCCCTCATCGCTTCTCTCACCTTCTTGTTACCAGGGTCCCACAAGTACCCCAAGCTAGCACTAAGGTCCAACGGACCCATCTGAATGCAGTCAACCCCATCAACGGCCGCGATCTCACCAGCCTTCTTCACCCCTTTCTCCGATTCAATTTGACACATGATCAGCAGCTCGTCCTGGTAATTATTCAAATACCCTTCATCGATCCCGTACCCTGATGCCCTCACAATCGGGTGGGCGGAGCCGCGAATTCCCGCGGGCGGGAACCGGCAATACGAAACCGCTTCCTTAGCGTCTCTCGCGCTCTCAATCATTGGGAACATGATCCCCTGTGGACCTAGATCGAGAGCCTTCTTAGTCCAGGTGGGGCAAGTTTCGGGAACCCGGAGAATCGCGGCGGTTCCGGCGGCAGCGAGTGCATGTAGGCAGGGCAGCGCATCAGAGATGCCGCCGTGACCGTGTTCCATATCGACAACAACAAAATCGTATCCGGCGAGACCTGCGATCTCGGCAATGGTGGGAGAGAAGGTGAGGAGGAAGAGGCCATAAAGGGATTCGCCACTTTGGAGGCGAGATTTGAGGTTCTTAGGAGATGAGAGGGGGTAGTTGGATGTGAGAGAGGAGGAGGAAGCGGTGCCATCCGCTAAGGACTTGGGAATGGGCGAAACACTGGATCTCGTGGAGATGGAGATGGGTTTTGGACAGTGGAGAGGGAAGGAAGAAGGCGACGACGATGTGAGGGGCGTGAATTTGAATTTGGAGGGTGCGAGCAATTGAGGGTTTCTGAGAATGGAGGAGAGGGATGAGCTCGTCGATATAGTTGCGGCCATATCCATTTTCTCCCTGTCTCGGAAGAGCCTGCTCAGTCTGTGAAGCTCACTGTAGAGTATTGACGAACGACGGCTGAGGCGGAGCAGTTGAAGAAGGCATCATTCCCTGCATTAGGATGAGAACTTAAATTTTGGTCATATATTCTTTATATTGGAAATTCATTCACATTTTTAACTTTCGAAAAAGTTCATTGTTACTAAAATAAATTGGTATAAAACATAAAATATAACAGGAAAACTTGGAATTTTGCAAGTCTGTTTTTAACTTTAATTTTAATTTTTAGCATGATGATTGACGATGAATTATAGCAATTATTTGATTATTATTACTCACTCTGTTTTTGTTGTGGTGTGGGATATGTTTCTCTAATCAATACATTTTTAATTAACATTATGAATGAGTATGAGAAAAAGTATGAGATGACTGGGGAAAAAATTATAAATGACAATGAAAAATGAAATATTAAATTATCACTTTAATTTTTCTTTTAACAATTATTTTGTTATATCTAAGCATGGTTGGCTCCATATAAATTCACAATATGAGATGATCGGGGAAAAAATTATAAATGACAATGAAAAAATGAAACATTAAATTATCACTTTAATTTTTCTTTTAACAATTATTTTGTTATATATCTGAGCATGGTTGGCTCCACAGAAATTCACAATATAATATTTTAAACACCCACACATATGAAAACGCCAATGTCGAGTTTAAATCTCGAACATTAACCAGCTGTTACTCGGATAACTTAATGACTAAATCTCGTTTGATTCTTTTTTTTTTGCCTGAAATCTCGTTTGATTCAACTTAACAGCCATTAAGTGCATTACTATGATCACTTGGCCATGAATGAAGGCACAGATATGATAATTTCAGCAGAGCGTAACGTGTCTAGATTCACTCGTTTGATTGACATTTTGCGTGGCGAAGATCTAGAACGAGCAATTACGAGTCCTGGGGTAAGATGAATAACAAGAATTCAATTAATTTCCCAGCATTATTTACACAAAGAATTAAGATCCTTTAACCATATCTGAAAAAAGAAAAGGAAAAAAGAATCAATTGTTATTAAGTTAATCCTCTCCAATCCATAGCTAATCCCTCTCATTATTTACACTCTATCTCATATATTTCTACATCACAGACAAGAGAAAAGAAGGAATAACAAAACCAACATTAGCCCCAATCTCCCTCTCCAGGCAGAGTAAGCCTAAGCCTCATGCATGGGACGTTTTCCACGAGGGTCAATTTCCCGAGCGCTGGAGCTTGTTCCCGGTGTTGTTGCGATGGTGGTATAGTTACTGCTTGAGTCAGAAGTCCGAGAATCAGAGTCAGCACCTGAAGTACCAGCTGCGGTAGAAAATGTGGAGCGCCTGCGAGGTCTTCTGTATCTGGAACCAGGCGCTCCTGGTCTAGTCGGCTCATCCATGTGGCCCGGCTTCTTCGACAGCATCACCACCACGCGCCGCATGCTTGGCCGGATATGTGGATCCCCTTGAACGCATAGCAGACCCAGTTGTATGCACATTGCTACTTGATCTTCTGCTGAACCTGCTATTGCAGGGTCAACCATTTCTAAGCTCCTCCCTTTCTTGTAAAGCTTGTATGCCTGAACAAAGGCAACAACACATTATTTCTTAGATATGTCTGATATGGAAACTTCATTCACAGCTCTTCCTTCACACATGAACACAATACTTAGTTCATTTCTTTCCCAAATTAGGATGCTAATAATTTCATCTATTATCATATTAAAATATTTTTCAGGATTTTTTTTTCCGGGGCAGAACAAACGAGCAAAAGGCAAATCCTTTCAGCAACTAAAAAAGTTAATTTTCTTTTATTATCGTGTAAACTGTAAAACCTGACAACTAGGATTATTGGAATAACTTTTTTGCCCGGGAGGGTGTAGGGCAGATAAGTTTCTTGGAGGCTTCTCAAGATGCGATTAATCTGGCTGTTGAATTTTCTCTACCCAAAGGCTTTGATGGTAGCAAAGTCATAAACGCTATGCACGCATGAACGCGGGACGAATAATTAAGTGGGGTTTGGATTTTGGGGCTTATATCCTTTTCAGTGCTGGTGAACGAATGTCACGCGGTTGTGACCCACCATGAGCATAAATTAATCAAACAAAAAAAGAAAAAGGTTATTGGAAAACCGGAAAGGTCAAAGAGCCTACACCTAAAACCTCATAAAGAAGCCAAGACATTGGATAAATCAATCTTACCCAATCAAGGAGATTATGTGCATCCATCTCAGGGCTAAACATTGAGTTTCTTTGGCCACTTATCAGCTCCAGAACCAAAACCCCATAGCTAAACACATCTGCCTTCACTGATAAATGCCCATGCATCACATACTCTGGAGCCATATATCCACTGTATATTCACAATTTTATAAGACACAAATCTACTTTATTCACATGACCATGCTAACTTCATTTTTAAAAGAGAGAATGACAAATATGGACCTGATAACAAAGTTAATCTCAGATTGGAACTTCTCAAAATCTGTCAGTTCTGAAATATGAGATACTGAGTACTAAAATTTGAGAATTTAAGTTGTTATGAGGTCCCGGTTTGATGTTAACCTTTTCATGAGGTCTTAAATTGTCATTCAACCTTTTTTTAAAATAGTTGACTAATCAATAGATGTTTTGATACTATTCTTAAATTGTCAACAATGAATCTTGGATTTGCTGCTTATTTCTCAAAGTTTGGTGGGGTCCTGTAACCAAAATTTGTTTCCATCAAGCAATATCTAGGGAAGAGGTCAAAGTTGAAAAGCATACTTGGTGCCAGCCACCCGTGTATTGACGTGAGTTTGATCCTCAGGGAAGAGACGAGCCATGCCAAAGTCTGCAATCTTGGGCATCCATTTGTCATCGAGCAAGATATTACTGGCCTTGATGTCTCGGTGGATGATGCAGCTGTGCGAGTCTTCATGAAGATAGAGTAAGCCTCTTGCTATGCCTGTGATTATGTCCAACCTCCTTTTCCAATCCAGCTGCTCTTTTCTGTGAGATTCTGCAATTAACAAAAAAAAAAAAAAGCACGTTTTCTATCAAACTCTCTGTCTAACAGCCGCACAAAAGAATACGGATAGCACTAAATGTTGACTTGACAGGCATAGACTCTGCAGGCCAATGGTACAGAGGCAAGGTCCAACAATAGCAAGATAACACTTCACAAATTTTATGCCATTAGCCCTTGCCCTTGCCCTTGTGCCTAAAAGAAACATTTTTTAAATATGTTCCTTGCACCAAGTACTTGTATGAGAAAATAAAAATTTCTTGGAATCAGTGCATCCCTTCAATTGCGTGGAACTCATAAACTAGTTTATACTGACTCCTTACACGAGCAACTGTTACATTATACTCCTCCAATCCTAAAGATAAGACCCCTATACTAGTGTGTATAAAAGTTTTATATCAAGGACTGGAGGAGTATTACATATTCTTGACAACTCCCAACAACAGATAGGGATATCTACCAAGCTTTGTTATATCATCCATCTAAAGTTGTACCTTTTATGATTATAATAATTTGTGGCCTACCATGAAATTTTGAGATCAATCAATCACAATCTTTCTCAGCGTCACTTCCCATTGTAAATTATAGCTTAACCGGATTGAGTGCGGGGAGGATTTTTTTTTTTTTAAAAATCCTGTTTTCTTCACAGAAATTGGAAAACCAAATTTAATCTTAGTGGTTAGCCAACAGCAACATATGAATTTTTGGGAGAAACACACACACACACACACACAGAGATTGAAGGGCTTTTTCTTCTAATTTGAATCATGATGGATGTGCAAAGACCAGTCAAAAGGGGTGTTTGACTTAGCACAATTTTATCTACGCAATTAATGGATCCATTGAGGAATTCTATTCATGCAAAGTCAATTTCTTAACTCTTAATCTTAAGTGCAGCCGCTTTGGGAGTTCCCAGGAAATAATTTGTTCAAAGAGTGCAGAAAGGAAAAGAAGATGGATAGGAGGATGGAAGGCCTAAGGTTTACGGGGTTGTTACTGATAACGAAATTGGACATTAAAATTTCAGGAGTCTGCGATAAAAAATACCGCTTTTTGATTCTATGGGAAAAGCCATGGAAAAGAGGAATTAGTTCGACCCTAATAGAGATTTCAAACGTAAATACCAAATCGCCAGTCAGCCTGCCTAACTGAAAACGGGTTTAAGGAAAACAACCCATTCACTTCATCGGTGGTAGAATTTGGACCCAGAGGTTAGCTTAAGCAATAAGCAGGAATTAAATTTAACTCCTCTCAATTGAGGAGGTATAGAAAAAGAAAATGAGAAAGAAAGATAATATGAGAAAAATTCTACAAAAAAGAATACCAGGTTAAATATCTGTGGGCCAAATAATGTTTTACATTTCAAAATCTGAGATAAGAAATGCAAGTTCTGTATGAATTTTCAAAATAAATATCATCTCAGCGGATATCATTCATCTATGATTATTGAACAGAAGAGGAACAGAAAAACTTACTGAATAGAAGTTTGTCAAGGCTCTCATGAGGAACATACTCATACACAAGTAGCTTCTCTGTGCCATGGGCACAATAACCCAACAAATTCACCACATTCCGGTGCTGCACACGAGCCAACAACTTGGCCTCATTCATGAACTCTTTGTTCCCTTGATTTGAGCTTTGCGATAACTTCTTTACCGCAATGTCTCTTCCATCGTCCAACTTCCCCTGCAAGTGAAAAAGGGAAAGAAAACAAAAGAAGAGAAAATCAACAGCAGTTGGAATAGGTCTAAGGATCTCTGTTTACCAGGTAAAAGCACCCCCCCCCCCGGGGAACAAAAAATCTCATTTTCTGTGGGACATTTTGCAAAACATTGAAGCTTCAGGAATTGATCAGCGAATTCCTTGCATCCAATCTTGATTGGGCGGAATAAAACTTTCCAAAATTTCAAAATCGTCCAACCCCTCTTAGAGTTTCATAAACATGAAAGATTGAATCTTCCTCAACCATTGCAAGAAGAATAAAGAATTCTTCCCGCTCAATTTTCTCTGTCCCGCTTTACCTAGCAACCAAGCATAAACAACTGGGGAAATCCATCCTGGATCGTACCTTGTAGACAGGTCCAAAACCTCCCTCACCAAGCTTGTGATGAGAATGAAAATTTTTTGTAGCAGCAAGTAAGGTTTCATAGGTAAAGATCTTTTGTTCCTGGGCAGCAATTCTCTCTAACTCTTCTTCGTTGCCTCCTTCTGATCAAACACAACCGAACAAAAGCAGTGAGGCCATCCGAATCAAATACCTAACGACCACAAGGTGCAATGAAACCAAAAGAGAAGGAATCAGATTATATTCTTCACCTTTACTAGAACCGAGTCTGAAGGGTTTAATCAGATTATGCAGAAAACTGAGAGATTTGGTCATGTTGCTTTTGCTTCCCAAAACCAGCCCATGGAACAAAAAACAGAGGAACCCCCCCAATGAGAGTAGTAATCACCGTGCGTTCTGAAATTGATTTGCCGGGGGAAAATGAGAACTGGGGTAGAGGACGGGAAAATTGGATACTATGAAGGAGAAGAAGAGAGATGAAGAGAGATTGTAGAGTAAGAGAACATAACAAAAAAATGTGGAAAATATGAAAATGGAAGCGTGTTTAGTGACCCAGGGACGCCTGCTTGACTTGGTGCTGATGCTTGCCTTTATGCCACGAGGCCGCAGAACGGGTGGAAACTAGAAGAAAAGTCAAGGCTCACAATTCACTTCACATTAATCCCCCCGAGTAAAGAGAGAACAGCCTGTTACTTTTCCCGTCACTACCAAATGCCGCAAAACTTCGTCGTTGTCCCCCATGAAAGCTCCTTCTCGTCAACTCGTCCCTGCTTAGAATGCTCATCTACCCGCGAGCCTTAATTCTTCTTTGGTTCGTTTCTACTTTTTTGTTAATTGTGTTCCCCTCTATGCTTTGCATCGTATTATAAATTTGCAGTATCGTTCAAAATTTATACCATGTGTAAATTTACACATGTTAATAAAATTAGTTAAGTTAATTATTTATAATAAATATAAATAAATATTGTCTTTTTTTTAAATATTTTTATTAATTATGTGTATCAAAAATGTTGTTTGAAAACTCTTTAATATGTGTGATCATCACATGGATGACTTGGAAACAAAATAAATAAATATTAAATATTAAATAAATTAAAATTTTATATTTAAAACTAAAATAAATATCCAACTAACTTTTTTATTAACAATAAAAATAGTACTACTCTGGTCTTAAATACTTTTTAAGTTAATTATTTATAATAAAGGAGTATTATACTTTTAATTAAATGTTAATTATTTGTATTGGTCATGTATTCGCTCGGATTCGTTTGGGTGACCGAATGTTGAGAGGCAGCAAACTGTCCTGGTTTATGTATTCTTTTAACTCCGTAAGGTGAAAACTTAATTAAAAATTTCGATGCTATGACCCATGCGTAAATTATTTTTTTTTAATGCAATCCCTATCAAGAATAAATGGTGTTGGGTTGAGTTGGTATTTTACGGAACCATTAAGTATTAACCTTATTAGCTGGCCATTCCACTATCTTCCAATACTTTTCTCCATAACTTTTTGACCGCTAGCAAAGCCAATCAAACTATTTCAGTCCAAAAAAAAAAAAAAAGCCAATCAAACTATATTACTCTTCCGGTCCTTAATATAAGACTTATTTAACTAATTTAATTAGATTAAAAAAGTTAAGTAAGTTAGTTAATTATAAAAAATGTGACACGTTTTTTTCTAAAATACCATAATCATCTTTCTTAATATCCCATCTTTCTCTTCTACTTGATTATAGTTGAGAGAGTATCTATAGAGGTAATTTAGAGAAACTTGATAAATATGAAAAATGAGTCTTATATTTAGTACCAAAACCAACTCAACAATTGAGTCGTATATCAAAGACAGGAGGAGTATCATTTATTAGCACAGCCAAAACCATTTCCAAAGCAATTTAGTAACTTCATGATTTAAAGGACCTACTTAAAACCATCTTGGCATATTTCAACATTAAAAGTTAAATTAGTTGGCAAAAAAAAAAAATATATATATATATATATATATAAAGAATTTAATTCGCATGACAGATAATTGTCTTAAGATGGCCTTTCATTTAGGCTATTGTTGATCAGCTTTCCTTTCCTTTTTTTTTTTTTTTAAATAGTGAATGCCAATGAGCAAGACGTTAAGAAGACATTTAAAAAAAAAAAGTTTTAATATGACATTCAGTGCCTTGCCTGCTTGGCCACTGCTAAATAAGTTAAGCTTAATATCTTCGTCAAATCCCACTAACAGTATTTTAAAAATTAATTGAAAAATTTGGTCCGTCTCTCTCATTTGACTGAGTTTGTACAACGAAGCAAGGCTTCCAGGCCCTTCCTTCTCACGCCATATGAAATGCCAACCAAACAACACAGCGCCATCTGCAATTTTTTCCGCAGTATTTTCTGGACTCACCGCTGCGGGTTGCCGGGTTGGTGGCCTATGTGATTTACTCCATTCCATTTCATGCAATCATAGAAAAATAATGATTGAATTTCAAAAAAATAAATGAGTGTTTGACAAGTCAAAATCTGTTAAAATCACTTATGTATTATTTTTATGTTATTCTCCTTTTTATATATGGCCATTTAATTGTATCAGAGGATCATTAACCAACAAAAAAATCCAGAGAAAGGGTTAAGTGTTTGATCCTCCCGTTCAAGGCCTAATTAGGAATAACCCTCCCGATCACATTTTACATATTTATATAGATAGACTCGAATTTGAGAACCCGTAATCATGTTTGCTGGGCCATAAATTAAGTGGGCCAGGCCCATATAGACAGGAACGAGGTGAGTCCACAACATCAGGACAGTCACAAGCAGAATGGGCCGATACGGTGACCCAAAGCCCAAAGGGATATTCATTTTGGCCCGACGGGAGAGGAGACGTCAACTCAGACATACAAGCACGCAACCTCCATGAAAGAACTTACAGAGAAAACCTCCCCTGCTCAAGACCCTGCGATCACATCCTACTTTCGCATAACTTGGTTTCTTCTTTGAATCGATGGCCCTCACTGGTTGCTCGCCCATGTAATTTCCTTCATTTTACTTAAAATATCTGCTTGTAGTCTTGACCAATATTGTGTTAATGTTTCATTTCAAACCCAGTCCAAGAATGTTAGCTCACTACTAAGATCCTGTCTACCGGAAGTAACTACAAACCGAAATCTTATAATTGAGACCGGAGGTAGTATTTTCGACGGCGATATATGTTTCTGGGAAAGTGTTCTCCTTGAAGGAACCTGTTGTTTTCACTTCCACCGCATTCAAGAAAAAAACATACAAGTATATGAACCTGTTGTTTTCTGCCTACCCAAAAAATTGTTTTCTTCTTGAAGAAAAATCAACTGTGAAAGTAATATTTGGCTCTGATCTCAATTTTTTAGTGCTCTGCAACATCCATCCAAATCAAAAGCCACAGTGCCCAGATTACTCCCAAATAACAAAAACAAACACTCACTTTTTTATATAATTACAAAAATGAATACATGTAGTATACAAGTGACTCAGCTCAATTTTCCCTCTCCGAAATAAAAACAAACTCTCATATGATGCAATAATGCAAAAGATGAGACAAAGGGACAAGAAAGAGGCTCCTTACCTCTCCTTTTTCCCTGCTCCCCAAAAAAAGATTTAAAAGTTGACAAAACTAGTGGGTCCTAATTCTGTCCGTCTAATAAACTAATGCCCTATTTACCTGGCACAGCAACATTTTGTTGGATCAATCCAGCTCTGCAAAGCCAGGCCTTTCCTCACAAAATACAATTTGACAGGGTGGCTTTTCCTCATTAGCCTTCACACACATACTCTCATCATCCTTCTTTCCCCTAGAAGGTGATGATGGACACAACCAAAGAGATTCTCAATCTCTTCAGTAGACCCCACCTACCAAAGAATAAGTGTACCAAGTGAAATTATAAATAAATACATAAGCATGCAGAGGTCAGTTTGAGTTTCACTAAAAATGAACCTGACATGCCTATATATTTGTTCATAATTTACTCAGGTTACTTATCTTTAGCAGGTTGAGACTACCTAAAGTTCTCGACGCAACCCATAAAAATTTGGGTTTACATGGACAATAAAACGAGGATTCAAAATAGAACAGAAAATGGCAGGCTCCATTTTGTTGTCCACCATGATTCAAACAGACCATACCCGGATTCTCCCTTCTCCATCAGGGAAGAACTTCCGCTGGCATTTTTTTAATGATAAAAATGAACTGATGCTTTGGTGTTCTATATGATGCATGCCTGATTTGCAACTTGCCGATCAACTCCAACGTGGCAAATCTGCATTTAACAAGGGCTTAATAAATCAACAAGTTCTGTCCCAATAAATAATCAAGAGAAAATGGCGTTCCAACGAAAAGGAAGATTAGGAATTTTACCTCTTTTTAATGTAGTGGCTTAGCTGATAATAAACTTCTTTAGGAAGTAAGATCGCTCATATTCCTGACTCTAACTTCGACATTTCTCAGATCACGAAGATGTTGTAAAATTTCTTGGAGAAGGTCTAGGCCTTTGTCCCCTTTTCTCAAGGAGCTCATACAGTGCTTAAGGAACTCTCTGTCTGCTTCAAGTGCTTGGAGTCTCTCGTAAACGTTATCGATCTCTTCTACTACAAGTTTCTCCTCCTCCAATTCAGCCTTTTCTGCTGAACCATTTTGCAAGGAATCAAAATGCAGTCCGTTCTCCTTACCATGAAACACCCCATCTTGGGCTTCTGCATCAACAATTGCATCAAAAAGTGGAAGAAGTCTCTTGGCTTTTGGAACCACGATTTTCTTCCCTTGATGATGCTTACCATTGATTTCCTCTGCATGACCATTTGCAAATCCATTTACCTGATCTCTATAATCGTCATAATCATGGAATCCATTCCCATTCTCAACACAAAGATGTTCTGTGGATTTGATATCATCAGAATCATGTTCTTCTTCGTAATTCAACTTCACCAGCTTTTCTTCCAATACTTTCAGCTGCTCTAGAATTGATACCCTCTCTTCCTCAAAGCTTGACAATGATTCTTCCAAGTATAGAACACCATCCACTGGGGTGTTTTTGTTGCTGCTGATTTCTTGATAGTTGTAGAAGCCGTTTTCTTCCTTTGCTTCATGATTAAGATCAATAGATAGTCCATCACTCTCTCCTGCATTGCTACAACAAGGAGATGAAGTTCTGCTTCTTATTGTGCAATCCCTTCTTGACATCATAGTTTTCTCTCTAATTTCGTACTCTTGAACCTTCCTTCGATATGCTTCAAGCTCCTTTTCAAGCTCTTGGTTCTCTTTCTCCCTCTTTACCATAAGCTCATTCAGAAGCTGCAAAGCCTCTTGATCGTACTCAGATTGTTCTTCCATCATCCTTTGGTACTGCAAAGCTTCCATCTGCATTGCCGCTTTCTCTTCCTGAAGCCTATTTATCATTGCCATTGTCTGACTGGCCGCTATGGCAGATGCACTCCTCTCTTCTTCTAGCTCTGCGTATAGAGCATTTAAAGCCTTTCTTTCAGCCTTCAATGCTGATTTTAATTTCTCAGTGGTTAGCTCACCACAATCAATGTCGCTAATGACACTTCCATCCAATGAATCCTCTGCTCCGGATTCTTTCCTCTCAAGTAGTAGCAATTTCTTGTGTAGCTGATGAAGATTCTCAAGAGAAGTGGGTGTATCAGGAACTCTCTCATCCTCATTTTCAGAAGTGGGGGTATCTGGAACTTTCTCATTCTCATTTTCACTAATCTCCAAAGATGACAAATTATTGTTTTCCACTGGTATCTTTGGTTCAATCACCATGGTTCTAAATTCTACAAATTCTTCCTCGTCTTTGTCATGACCTAATCATATATTTGAAGATAGATAAACTCAATTAAAAACTTCTGTATTAGAAAAATAAAAGTACAGACTCATGGAAGAAGATAGTAGATAGAAATTCGAGCCTCGCCTTTTTCATTTTGATTTGAATCCAAGAGAATATCTTGGCTTTGAAATTCATCCACTGGTTCATGTTCAGGAATTTCAGTCCCAATTGAGACATCTGCTTCAGATTCATCACCCTGCATTTGTGCCGCCTCTTCAGATGCTGCAGACATGGCCATATATTAGAACTGTGTATGAAAACCAAGGAAGACAATAACCACAGGAAAAAAAAAAAAGGAAAAGAAAAAAAGGAGAACAGAGGAGACATATTATTACAACCTGGAGAAATATTCGTACATGTTTCTTCTCTTGTTTCCTTGTTTGCTTCAACATTATCAACCATAGGTGAGTCTTCTTGGTGCTTCTGCTCCAAATTTTCTTCTTCTTGAAATCCTGAGGGTTCCTCTCTGGTTCTTACTTCAACTGATTCAAGCCAATTGATATCGGAAGCCTCTGTACTCTCACGAGCTGGAGATACTGCCTCAGAATTCACCGAAGTATGCCAATTCTCCATAGCTGGTTCAGCTTCTGCATCACCTTGCATGTCAAAGTCCAAAATAACATCTTCGTTGCTGTCAATTCCATGATCTCCCACATTTTGATTTTGGTTCTCAATAGGGATCAATCTGCAATCATCACCATGAATTAAAAATTCCAGATGCCGAAGTGAAGTTCCCTGAGTTTTCTCGTCAGTTGCGGAAACTTGAGCTGAGGACATGTCGCAAGATTGATCATCTTTGGGGATATTAGGATTTTGCTCCTCAGCGGCTTCTTGTTCTTTATCTTGATCCCAATCCAACTTGTAATCTTGATCATCCATAATCTCCTTCAAATTATCACAAACAGAGCAAGCACAAGTGTCGTCATCCTCCTCTCCCCTTCCAGCTGAACCCCCGTCAACATCAGAGACCATGTGACTTTTCTTGTTTTCTTCAGTGCTTCGTTCATCTTCATGGTGATCAGCTGCAAAATCCAATCTGATACGATCTGAGAGACTATCCTTATCAAGCTCTGCATCAACCCCACCTTCTGTAATAAAATTTTTCTTCTGTTTGGTATAATCCAGAAAGCTCAAAGAAGGTTTAATCAGAATACAAGGAGAGTAGGGTCTGCTGTCCAAGCGAACGCCACAGCAAGAACAACTCAAACTTTCCTTTTCATCTTCAGTTCCCGTATCATGAGCATCCTGAATCATACCAATCTGCTTCATCCATGGAAAGAAACCAAAATTCTTCGAAATTTTGACGTAATCTGTCTGAGATGAGGATGAGCAATCCTCACACATATCCTCCGATTCAGCTAGTCTCCGATGAGTCGAGCAGAAACCCAGTTTGGAAATCTCAGAGGCATGATCATCGCACACAAGATCTCTCAAAGAATTCCTGCTGTTGCCGGGCTCGATGATCTGATCAATCCTAGTGCACCACACACAAGGTCTTTTGAGGCCAAAGTAATCGGCGAATTTCAATATACAGAAAGAAAAGAGAGAGTTTAGTAGAAGAAGGATGATCAGAATCCACTCCAGGATGGCATAAACGATAACAAGAGTGATTTTGTTGGTGTTTCTATGCAACATGGTAGCAAACTTGTTGGCAGCCATGGATAGATGATGCTGTGTTGTTGATATGTACAAAAGAAGAAAAGACTTGGAAGGAAAATCAGATAAGAATTGAGTCAAGTGTTGCAGAGACAGAGAGAGAGGGGGAGGGGGTATGGGGGAAGTGAGAGAGAGATTAGCACAAAGTTTCAGAGGGAAGAGAATTTTCAGACAAGATGTGCAAACTTTTATTGTGGGCAGAGTATAACACAAGCGAAGGAAACTGTTTAAGTTTTATAAGAAGTAGCTGTATGCTTTTATTCATGCTGAGATTATAATTAGCCACGGCTGGGTTCAAACCTTTTTTTTTTTTGGGGGGAGAAAGTAAATAGAATAATGAATACATTCCATATTGATCTCATATAATTTCATGGTATTTAATAACATGCTGACAACTAGAAATAAGAGGGGACTGAGTTTAGAGAAAAAGAAAGAAAGGAACTTAAGTCAAAGAAATTTAAAGAATGTTACTCCCTCTTGTTCTAAATATAAAACTTATTCTGTAATGTAATTTACACTATAAAATGGGTTTTATATTTAGAATCGGAGAAATATGTTTTTTGGGTATATATATATATAAATATAAATGTATATGATAGGGATTCTGTTTTTTGGTGTGATGTTGAGGTCAAAATAATCTGAGTCTGTAATGACACAAAACAGAGCACTGGAATTTTCCATGGAGGCGGATTATTTTGGGATTGATTCATGCCAGCTCCTCTAATGAAGTGGTGGGACCAACCCTAAAGTTGAAGGGTGGGACCTATTTTGTGGCTGCAGATGCTTGATTTCATAATGTGGATTTGTTTCCTAAGCGGCTCTCTGCTTTTAATATTTTAACATTTCCTTCCCCACTCTCTTCAATTAATCAAATTCACTTTTTGCTACTCCTCACAACTTCTAATTCACCAATCTTGCTTTGTTAACAAGCTTTCTTGTTCTGTATTTAATTCATATTCTGGACAACCCTCTTGCCTTCATCAAATGGAAACTTTCTTGTCATCACAGAAATATCTTCTCCTTTCATTATTCTTCACCAACATTTTCATCTGTTTTCTCTTAAAAAATTGTTGAAGCCTACAACTTATCCCTAAAATATTAACTTTAAGCTGAGGATTCTAGCCTTCTAAATGAAAGGATTAGATTATTGAGAAAGCTATCCTTATATGCTCATTTGTTTTTATTATAAATAACTTATATGAAACTTTTCTCACGTATTTATTTTGTATAACCTAAACTTATTTAAAATAAGCTACTCCTCTGGTTCTTAATATATGACCCAATTCTTGAGTTGGTTTTGGTTTTAAATACAAGACTCATTTCTCATATTTATTAATTTTCTTTAAATTACCTTTATAGATACTCCTTCAATCATAATAAAGTAGAAGAGGGAGAGGGGGTATTAAGAAAGATGATTATGGTATTTTAGGAAAAATGTGTCACTTTTCTTATAATTAACTAACTTACCTAACTTCCTTAATCTAACTAAATTAGTTAAATGGGTCTTATATTAAGAACCGGAGGAGTAATTCAAATGATTTGTGAAGTCAACAATGCTCAAATCTAATACAATAATATCAAATATCGGATATTATTTTTTTAAAAAAAACAACTTGCAACTAAAATGAAATGAATCACTTCTGACAAGGTAATTTATGATGATAAAAAAGAAGGATAGCCAAAGGAAGCCAAAAAAACCTCACAAGTCATGCTTGTTTTGTTATGGTTTTGGGTTAGGGCTGCACCGCCCTTCACCGACTTATATTATCATCATGTTTTTTGTGGGGGAAAAATGTCATAAAATATTTTTAAATATTTAAATTTAATATTTTATAGATTAGATCTGCTTAAAATTTGTTATTTATGCCTTCATCAAATCTGCACCATTAAGTATTTCAGTGTCTCATTTGGCCCCACTGGTTATAATTCATCAGATGCCTCCATTACCCCCACCTTAAAGCTAATTTAATTAAACCTAATTATGCTCCCATTACAAAATTAATTTAAGTACAAATATGCCAGCTTAAAGGTTTTCCAAAAAGATCAAAGCAACGTCCAACTTTTTTCATCTTTTCATGAAAAATATTTGAATCCAGAGAAACATATGCAAACATTCTCAGAACCTAGATACAAATTTAAGATGCAAATTATTGTTGTCACATGGAAAATTGCAGCACCTAATTATTATCTGAAAATGAATTTTAAAAATAATCATGTTAAATTTCTAGAACACATGATGGCTTTCATCAATTCAATTTAATACGTAGCAGTAAGAAAAATTAATCAGAGAGCTGGAGTAGATAAATTAAAGACGAACGTTTTATTGTGTCATAGTTATGAATTATCTTTATTGGGATTAAAGAACATTAAAGCAAAACTCACTTAATGAAGTGTATTACTGGTGGGAGCCCTTAATTACACTTTCACTAACAATTTTGTGTTGCTTTAATCACAATTTCTCTTATTATAATCGAAAATCTTTCATTTTAAAAACTGTACCTTTTTATTTTTTTTGCCTTCAACTTTGCTATGCGCGCGAGATGTTTAAAAGATCAAGCTACAATGACTTCTTAAAAACATTTAAAAATAAAAAAATAAAAATCACATAAAGATTAGGTTATATTGGCCCACGCATTGCTGAAAAAATAGTCAAATATTATGTGCCAAAATAGCTCCCAACTAAAGCTTTATTGAAAAATTCAAAAATGACGACTCAGGCAAACACATGAACACATTACATAATATTATATCATAAAATGTTAAATATATAATAAATAAAATATATGGTTGATGATTCATGAATGTAGCATTATTGTGAAATTACTCAATTAGATAGGAGGACCCTACAGCATCATAGAAACGGCTCGCGTGGGCACGACGACACCATCTTAAAAAAGTAATTATTATCATTATTAGTTATTAATTATTAAAAAAATATGGGGATGAATCTGAAACTAGTTTGCTTAATCGTGCATACTAATCAATATGGAGCCTATTTCCAATTTCCAATGATAACCTTTAACTCCACCTTTTAGCCAGTTTTTATTTTTTATTTTTCGCAAAGAACATTAGTTTACTATCCAGGCAAAACTTAAAGAAATTTTAGATCATCAAACTGCTTGACCATCTTGTTTGGCTTTTCTATCTCAACAATACTAAACATCTTCTTAATTTTTTTTTTAAAAAGTATGAGATTGTGAATTCAATCCGATATGGGAGTTTTTCTGTTGGATGAAAGATGATTTAAGGAAAAAAAAGTAATTAAAATATTTATTATTCTAATAGATTTGATTTAAAAAGGAGCCTAATTGAAGAGAGTGATTTAAAAAGCCTAAACGGCCTACAATGAATGGAATATTATTTGCACGCACAATATGTGTGTGTGTGTATAATTCATTCGGGGTGTGAGCATTACTATATATAATATGGAATTGATCATTAGTTAATCATATAGACGGGATAAGCATGGATGATGGTTGGAATGTCCAAATCTTTGGTCCTTAGATGAGAATCCAAGCAAAATTCATGGTATCAATTTTTACTATTTTATTAGTGAACGAAAAATAATTACTTCAAATCACATCTTTTTTGTTGTTGTTGCCCAGAGTATCTTCTTAACCAAACAGTAAGAGACTAATCTCTCAGGTTATTGTTGGAAGCCGTAGTAAGGACCCCTTCTAACAATGTTTTTTTCCCCCTCATATATGCCTTCTTAAGGATCGAACCCAGAATATGATGTTTAAGGTGTCTAAGTCCTTCTACTCGGACCAAATGGGCAACTAACTGAAGTAAATTCCAATGATGCTGACCCGTTGCCTCAGTTAGATGTACCGTTTTGATTTCTCATCCTTTAATGGATAGATGGAGACTTCTTCTCTTTCATTGCTGCATACTCACTTGCTCCCACTCCCACGTAGAGAGAAGCATTAATGTCATTGGTAGATCAGAACATTTTGTTTGATTGAAACAAAATGGTGGAGCTTTGAGTTGATGGCTGAAGTTGTTGGATGTTATGATATGTCGTCATCTTCATGGCCTGGACGGACGGCAAAAGCATTAAGCACCTCAACGTTGTACTTTGTAATTTCTCCTTTGTTCGTTGGGAAGGAATATTGGCCTTTTGTTTTGTTTTCTTTTATAACTTAGGATTCTAATCATACCTATACACAGTAGTTAACCTCACAAATATTGTTACCAGAAAAAGAAAAATGAGAAGAAAAGATCACAAACATAAAGAGAGAAGGCGAGAATGGCGACAGAACCTGCGTTTAGCTACTTGTATATAGGATACCAGTGGTGGGTCCTTGCATGGAAGAAGCTTGGATAAAGGGATGGAATCTTTAAAATAACTGTAAAACTGTTAATTATAAAAGATAAATTATGTTAGCATTTCAGACTTGTAGATATTTCAATTTAATTTCATCCTCTCTATCTCTATTTCTTTTTCAACAAAATGAAATACTTTTATCTCCTTAATATTTTTTTAAAAAAAAAGTTAACTTCTTGGAATATGATAAAGGGAGAATCCTAATTAAATCCAGTCGAAATACCTAAATTCAGATTTAGGCCTGCACTTTTAACAAATTCTTAATTAGGCCATGAGACCTAATTAGGGATTTCTAAATGTTGTTAAATAACCAGAATGCCCTTCTTCAATTAAAAAAAAAAGATTAATATACCTCTCCCAAGTAATTCCTCATCTCTTATGATTTTTTTTTTAGACCAAAAAACATATAAGTAATTTTACAATGTTTGAAATTTGTATATATAACTTACACTATTAAAAATATTTTAACAAAACATGTTAAATTACAAATATAAGTAAAATTATAAATATAAGTAAAGTTTAATAAATTTTTTATTTTCAGTTTTTATAATTTACATTAGTTTTATTTATTTAAACAATGTTGGATCCAATTGAAAACGTAAATAATTACGATTTAATATTAAAATTTTATTATAATTTAAATATTTTAATATTTTAAAATAAATATTTACAACCTGAAAAAAATATTTATTTAAAGATTACTTATATTATAATTTGAAATGTTTATGAAAATATTTTGAAGATTTTAGTTATATTACAAAATTTCAAACACTAAAAATTATTTATATTTTTTTGTCTAAATATTAATAATAAGAGATGATGAACCACTTTAGAGGGATAAAATAATCAATTTTCATTTTTAACTAAAGAGGGGCATTATAGTTATTTAACAATATTCAGCAATTCCTAATTAGGTCTTATGTCCTGATTAAGAATTTGTTAAAAGTGTAGGCCTCAATTTAAATTTAAGTATTTCAGCAGGATTTAATTAAGATTTGAAATAAAATCTTTTAAGTTAAATATAAGGATATATTCATTTGTCTCGTATTTAAGATTTTTATATAATTAACAAGTTTTAAAATATATTATGACGAAATAAACAAACAAAGATCAAATATTATGTATAGGGATTTTTTTTATTATTAGAAGCCATAGTCAATGTGTTAAAAATTTTATTTATTTATTTATTTAATAACCAGAATCTGGCAATCTCCTAATCGCAGAGTCATTGGAGTGATAGTAATAAGCAAGGATGGCAAGGAACCCAAGTGATGGCGGCACACGTGGGGCAAGGACTTTAATACTCACTCTTCCTTCACTCTCCCCCCCAACTCCCCTCTCTCCCTCTTGTTCCCTTTGTAGATACCTTTTCTCTGAAATCTCTCTCTCTCTCTCTCTCTCTCTCATCGATGGGGACATTGGAGGCAACCATTGTCCCAAAAGCAGTGTTGTCACCTACTAGCAAATGAATAGGAGGGCAGGCATGCCCTGACGGCCTTAACTGCTTGATCATTGAACTTGAGGCAATGCTCACTTTCCCTTTTTACTTTGCCATGTGCACTCATTGAAAATACAAGTCCTTCTTTACCAAAGAAGCCCTAATGGATAACATCGGTTCTGACATGTCACACAATGATCATCCATATTTGTCATCCATCACACAAAGTAACAACATGATCTCATCTGTTCTCCATTGTACCACACTGACATCTACACATGCTCCCAACAACCACTCACGTTGCTTCCACATGAACAATGCCATCACTCAGGCTGCCCATCTCAATTCCCTTTTCTGCTTCCCTGGCTTCAGTTTATATATGTCAACCATGAAACTTTCCAACACAGCAGTTACCATGTATGCTGCCAATTCTACTCAAGTGACAGAAGCAATCTTGTTGACTTAGTCTCAACAAAATTTGCAAGTCAACCTAGTTTTTTCCCAAAAAAACAAGAAGAAAGAAAAAGAGAAATAAAAATTTCACTGTCTACCAAAATTAAGCGAGCCAAGTAATGTTCAATGTCTTCAATTATTTTCGTTTATCTTTCTGTGACCAAGTCTAGGAATTTACCAGAACATGAATACTTGAGCATGCACGACTTTAAGGATATTAGGATATTAAAAGAACATATCAAAAGAACTAGGAAGTTAAAATTCCCATCAGTCAGAGCATTATAAAATGGCTGACTGCCTGTGACATTCTCAGTGTTGTCTCCATTTTACAAGAGAAACATGTCCGGCCGTCTGTTCCAAAAATACCATCTATCTAGCAACAAGTAAACCAATTTTACTCACTTCTGAATGCGCCGAACCAACTTCATAGACTAAAAATACACTGCATTCCTCAAAAAGTGTCCTCATAGCAAGCCCGGGTTACCAAATGGATTGTTGTTGTTTTGTGGGTGAGAAATAGGATTCACAGGAAACGCCCCATATCCTGCATCCCCAAAAGGATTTGCAGCGTTCATCAGCAGATGCTGCTGCTGCTGCTGCTGCGGTTGAGGCTGGAAAGGTTGGAATGGACCAAATGGATTCGTTTGCTGCTGAGACATGGCTGCCATTTGGACAGCAGGAGGAGGAGGGATGCTACTTGAGAAAGCAAATGGATCTTGGACCTCAAATGGATTTGGAGCCGGTGCTCCATACGTTGGCTGCTGTGATCTATATGCTGCTTCATCGTATAAGCTGTTAAGAGTGAGAGAGTCCATTCCACCAGCCTGACATTCAATGACAAATACAATGTTGAAACTGCCAAGGTAAGGAAGACGTGCTATTCTCATCATCAAACAATAAACAAGTCCGCACATAATCTCCTCTTTCGCATCAATCAAATCTTTTTTTTTTTTGGCGGGTGGGGGGATACTTGCTAATGCTATTATAATGGTAAGAAAAGGTAATACTTACTGTACATGCCACCCATGATGGAATGGGAGGTAACCCCGACAAATTCATTTCTTAAAACAACTACATTGGAAATATGTCAAGATAGAGCCCTGATACCGTAGCAAAGAGAATATCCAATTTGGTCTTTTTCAACTATAGATTTTATCCCACACAAACTCATTCACAGTGTAATATTCAGTTTAATATATCGCCAATTTCAGTTGATTTATATTTAAAAGCCCACAAAGGACATATGAAGACTCACCAATTGTCTTTCATTGACTGAAGAAATATTGCTACTCGGAGTGGCTACCAAAGCAAGCTCCCATCCAGTTGGATCAAAATCTTTTGCTTGAGTGGCACTAGATTCAAAACCAGATGTTGTGCCTAATATGAACAAAATAGTCACATTATTTAACATCCCACGTGGCAGAATTTGCAGGAAAAAAACAAAAAAGCCAACAGAAACTAACCATTTTCAGTGGGTACTATGGCTAGGGCAAGAGCGTTTCTTTCCTCTATCGATGATGCATCAGGTACAGTGTCATTCAAACCCTGCAACCAGGATATGAACAAGACAAATAAACTAGAGGAATGGCCTGGGATATTGAATCTGGAAGAAGAAACTTACCAGCAAGTCTCCAGCGTCAAAATTGTTTTGAGATGGAAGTGGTGGAGGAGGAACAGTCTCAGAATTGGAGACAACATCATCTGCAGGCACTGACGGCTCCTCCTCTTCAACAGACACTTTAGTGTCTTCAATTGCAGGAACTTCCTCCTCTGGTCTGTATGTCAACTGAAGCTGTAAACAAAGAAAAAAGAATTAGTTTCGTAGAGCTTAATTCTAAAAGCAATATTGCAGTGAGAAATATAATTAATGGCATCCCGTCAGCAAAAACAGAAACCATATATGCTCTCTAAACATAACATGTAATGTACTAACCAATGGCTCAGTTGGCACTGTCACCACTCGTGGTGCCTCTCTTATGTACTCGTCCATGGTTGTAAGAAAAGATTGAGGAGGCTGAAATGGTCAACAATGCAATGATTGGAACAAAATGAGAACGAAATCGTGAAATCAGAGAATGAAGTCACTGCAACAAAATCACATACCTCTCTTAGGACAGGAAACTGAAAATTCCGAGCAAGTTCCAAACCTTTGCATACTTCATAGAAATCAGATAAATTTGCTGCCTGTAGGAACTCAAAATAATCAATACAACGTCTTTGAGAATGAAAGTGCAAAAGCATTGCACTTTTTTGTACAAAAGTGTAGAGTGCAACATGTTTGATAACAACATCATCATAATAGTAATAGTAATAATCACCTGCTGGCCAGCACGCCTATAGATATCAAGGGCTTTGATAGCTTCATGTCTCGGCATCTCAAAAAACTACAAGGTCACAAAGAGACAGTTACATTAGAAAAATGAATGCATATAATACTAAAACCTAGAGAATTATTTTACATATGACCACAAAACAGTTTACCTTATCAACTAGATTGATGATTCCATCATTAACGGCACAATAAATCTTAAAGCTCTCTTTCAGTACCTGATATGCACATAAAAACCATTACAATAGCAGTTACAAGCAATGTAAGAGGAAATAATAAATATTAACTTATAGAACTTCAAAAATAACTAAAGATGTGACAAAATGAAAAGGTTTAAACATCTCACCAACCAGAAGTACGATTGAAAAAAAATTGCCACAAAATCTGTAAAAGAGCGTCTGTTCAAATTTAAACTACCAAGCAGGGGCCCTCACCCTTTAAACACAGATGCAAATTGTCAGCATAACTGCTGTCTCTATCCTAAACAACACATTCAAGCATATGATTGAAACTTAGTTCCTACAATAGAAAGTACCCAATGTAAATCATTTTCCCAGCTCAACATTCGAGAGTAGAGACATCAGTAAATGATGAAGACACAACATAGTTAGAAATCTATCACAACGACCCAAAAATTTCTCAAATCTACTTGAAACTCTTAACAAATAGCTTTATACAAAGAAGATAAAGACATACCAGAGCCAGAGCATATTGAATCACATAATTGCTAACAGCTGCTCCTTCTGGCTGTAAAGTTGCAGCACACAATCAGTTTGTGTTACTTGGAAATGATAATACTACAAAATAGCATAAAGTTAACAATAATTATATGAATATGTAAGGTAAAGCGGCAAAGCGAGAAGAAAAAGAAATAACATTACACGTATCTTGCAACATTACCTTGCAACCAATAAGCCGATAGAGAAGCTGCTGCAAAGCAGGCAACTGATCCAATAGTTCTTCACTTTCCAGATCCCTAGTTCTGCTGTAACCCTGCTCATAAAAAAACAACTAAACATGAAACCTCTTTAAAAACAAAAATTAGTTCAATAGAAGAAAGTTATATGTTTTAAAAGGGCACACATTTCAGTAATAAATGGTTTATTGATAAAATCAACCATTGGGAATTTTGTTGCAATGTCCATCAGAAATAAAAAGAAGTAAGAAAATAAGAACAACAGCTATAATAGACAACATTGTCAATTATGAGTTTAATGATAACACTGGGGATGCTACAAACTCAAGGTTGACTCATTATTGCAAAGAAGTATAGTCATTGTTTCATGAAGTTAAGTACCTTATCCTGCCCTTGGGCTGGCTTGGGTAGACGTTCAGCTTCGATATCATACTTCAAAATCCTAAAACATTCAAGCCTCTCTTCCAAAAACAATGCATATGTGCGTACCCATGCAGAGCAATCCCAAGCTGCAAGAAAATAAAATAGCCAGAAATATTATATAATATATATAACTTGATTTTGAAATTGAACCAGTATCAGAAGTCTACAAACACCTAGTAAAAGCTGGTAACTAGAACCAAAAAAAGACATTCTGAAAAAAAAATGAAATTAATAAGCAGGATAAGCAATCAATTATACCAATTGGGCTAGAATCATCCTTAAAATTAGAAAGTTGGAGAATGCGCCCTCTTTGTGAGAAATTCAGAAATTCTTCTTTGAAAGTGGGATCACCCTCTCTTAATAGCCTATGGATGACTATCAATGTTTTTAGTGCCACCTGTTAACAAGGCAAGATGAAGTAGAAGATTTATCTAACTCCTAAAAAGTCAACAGCTAAGGTATCACGAGTAATAACATCAGTTAATTCCTGAAAGACATTGCTCAGAACCAGGCGTAATTCCTTTAAAGAAACCAATATAATGCAAGTTCAATTAGCAGTGAATTCTAAATAGATGGTGACAAATTAACAAAAGCAAACTGAAACATCCCCTTCCATGACAAAAATAGCGTTTCCTTGTACACCATATTGTTGGGACTTGAATTTTTCAACAGTTGCAATGTTCATAAGCTAAACAGTCATTAATGTCTCAGGCGATTCATAAGTATGAAATTAGCCACGAGATAACATGGGTTTAAAAAGCATACTAAAAATTCAGTTTAGACGTGTTTTGAACTTGGAAACAAGAGCGAAACCAGACTTTAAAGCAACATATAGCATGTGATGTGAGCAGACATAGGTAAATTTGGCTAAAGAATAATTCTGAAATGCTTAGCAAGATAAGTTACGTGGATCTCATCAACTTCTAGGATAAGACCAGGTAGACACAAACCAGAAATGCTTGCGTTCAATAAAATGCAAATAAACAAGTTATGCCGTGTTCAAATCACATTCGTAATGGCAATTTCTGGCCCTATAAACTCATCATATTAATTGAATCAGACAACAAATAGCAATACCGTCCAATTTCGTGTCTTGGCCAGTCGGCGGGCCAGTGCATGAATGCAGTAAGCAACATCGGCTCGGGGTCGAACAGCAGACGTGGCAAATAAAATTTCTGCATACAACACGAATAAAAATGCAATTTTTTCATTCTTTACATACAAAAGCTAAAACCTAGAAGAACAATTTGGATCGACAAATACAGACGACTTACTTCTAAGGTGTCTCTCCTTAGGAGGGCATTCAACGTGGTTCGTGGCTTTGACTATGGCAACCTCCAAATCCTAAAAATAGGAACCAATTGAACCATGCCCACATAAGAAATTTGGAAGAAAATAAGGAATCAAATCGACAAAACTTTATGAGGCATCGGTCCATCGGAACAATCTATATTTAGAATATGAACAATTATCTCAATACCGCGTAATCGCTGTTGACATGGGCAAGACCAACTTTGGTGGAATCTTTGAGGGCACCGTAAGCTTTCCTCCAAGTCTGAAGCGTACCCATATCTAAATTCTGAGCGCTGATCCCTCTCACTCTATGTCCACCGCCCCTGAGTCAGGGTACAAGTGGTAATCAGCTCTTGAATTTCTATGTGTATGAGATGGATATTGTAGCAATTCAGCGGAGGAGAGAGAATAGAAGAATCTGATCAAAGGGAAACAATGGAATTAGAGTGGCATGACACCGTTTCAATTTTTGTTTGCGTAATTTTCTTCGCACCGGGGGAAGGAATTCCCACCTTGGGTTTTTGGCGGCCCCTACTTCGCTGTGCGTCATCATCAATCCTTCACCTTTTAATTAACAAATTTCTCTGTTTTCTTTATGTTGATCCAGTCATCATTGCTATTTCATTAAGGCTTAATCACGTATTTTAATCCAGTAATTAAGTATTAAGAAATTTTTATTAACTGATTAAATTTTAACCTATGGGTATCATATTTACTTTAAAATTGATCAAAAAATAAATAAAACATAATTAAATATAATAATATTAAAAAAATGATAGAAAAACTCAAAATTACTTACAACATAATTAGATATGAAAAAGAAGCTGAAAAAATGACAAAACATCAAATAAGGAATTTAAAAAAAAAAAAGATTGTTATTTATAAATTCAGTGTTATCAGCACCAAATAAAATATTGTTACTCAACCTGATTTGGAATTTAGTAATTTCCAGGTTTTTTTAATTATTTTTCTTAATATTAATTCGGCTATTCATTTTTTTTCTCTTTCGAACCTATGTACTTGTCCAGATTTAGATTTTTATTTTTTTCTAGGTATAAATTTTGTTTCAAATTGTATGATGTAATTTTTTTTTTTGGGTGAATAATGGTGTAATTATTGTTTGTTTTTAATAGCACGGAGGACATTAAATAGAGGTGAGTCTGTGTATTGCTTTTTCCTTATAAATACCAGTAAATAAGGTGGGAAGAGGAAGGATGTGCCATTTATTGTCATCATGTGACTAATGATGATGCCTGGCATCTACCTTTCTGGGCATGTAGCATATTATAATCGTTAATTCCAATGAAAGTCACTAAAATAGTTCATTAATAAAGAAGAGGTTGGCCTGACTCAGCATTTAAAACACAATTAACTGTTTAAGCAAGTTTATAATTGTACGCAAGTGATTATCATTTACCATCATCCAAGCCAGAGCTGCATATTTTCACTTCAAATATATGTATGGGGTGTTTGGCATTGGTTTCATAAACACTTTTTCGCAAAACGAGATAACTTCCTCCACATATTTATTTTATAATCTGTAAAAGCACTTCTGAAACTATGGTTTGATTTCTATCCAAACACCCCCGTAATATAGTTTTAAGGGTAAACATAAATCATATTACACTATAAAAAAATTAATTTTGTCACTGCTAATCCAAACACAGCCTAATAGACGCAACGTAAATTTTGTTTTGAGTTAACACCCTCTATCAGATGCCCCAAAAAATTTGATATATGCCCCATAAATTAAACAATGTTTCTCTCTCGGCATTTCTTATTCAACCTGTTGCTTTCAAGGATATTGCCTTTAAGGCGGCTAACATTTACCGCCAAGTAAAATCAAATACTACTTTTTTTAAAAAAAGAAAAACACACCATTATTTATTAAACACATCATTAGTTTTGGGGCAAGTAGCATTTTTATTTACAAAAATTTAATCCCCCTTAAAATTTCATGCAACCAGATCGTTTCTATCAGCGCAGTAGTTTAAAAAGACCGCTCCGACATTAAAACATATTCCCACTTTTAATTGGGGGGGGGGGAGGCATATTAACTAAGCATATAATTAAAAGCAAATACACTGTATATTTTGTAATTACCTTGATTATGTTGATAAAAGTTAAAGTGAACCTTAATTGGCGCGAGACAAGAACAACTTCCCCCGGAAGTCTGCAATCCTCTGAAGTGAAATGTGCTCCAAGTTGAGTAACATACTCAAGAATCTTTCACCCAAACATCAATACAAGACATCGTACAAAACATTACTTTCATCACCTTTTGAATACTTGCTCACCTCACAAATTTAGCCAAACTATTTGTAGGAATAAAATATCGAGTGGTTAAGGAAAGGTAAATCCATCTATTCATCTCTGTAAGCTGAACAGATTTGCATGGAACTAAAGCGTGCATCCTTGACCTTAATGTACAATTTTTCTCCATTATATTCCAACATAAACCAGTCGAAGAGAACACTTTTCTTAAGAGAAGAGATCCGTAGGGTATATGTACAACAAGTGATACATGTTGACTGTTCGGATTTAGATCCTATCCAAGCATTACACCAGGAAACAGGAAACAAAAAGAGACATTAAGAGAGGTTAATCCCACTTACCAGGTGAAAAATAAGTGGGATTCACTCATCTCATATTTCTTTTTATATCCTGCTGCATAGTGACAGCACAGTGGCTCAATAGAGTCTTGAATCCTGATTGATTACTCTAAATATGGAGTAATTGCACTTTGGTGAGAGGACTATATGATTACATGATCAAGTCATCAAGAAAAGGAGAGTTGAATGGTAACTTGATCGCCCCAGAAGCTATCAGGAGTGACATAGCCCAAATAGGTAGTATCCATTGCAACACAAAAAACAGAATCCTTTTTCCTGCAATCAAGTTCCAAATCCAGCCACAAACAATCAGACACAATGCACTTACCAAGAGCTACATACAATCTAACCTCATATTAGACTTAGGTCTAATTCCAATATTATGTTTGGATTTTGAATCTTCCCTGCAAACCCACAACTATACATTGATCTGCCCAATTGGCTTACCTACCTACATGCATACATGAAGCAAAGAAGCTAAGACAGTTATACACACTTTTTCCTTGTTGCAGACTTAAATCTTATTGACACTATAGTGCCACAAGTTAACGGAAGTCATTCCCAGCAATTCAATAAGGACAAGTTGGGATTGATATTCTCAGCAATCCCTGCCTAGTCAAATTCAAAGCCTTCTTTTCCAGTAATATCGTAATATTTACCAAATTTACTGCTCTAAAGAAATTATAGCTGTCTGTTTACTTCATATTTCTGTCTCGGCCTAAGCATTTCAATCTCAAGCTTAGCTACCTCTTGAGTTCAACGAGCAACAGAGTTTGGTCCTACAAGTAAAAGTATGAAACCTTTTTTTTTTTTTTTTGGGGAACTCTCCTCGCTCGCCGGGACCCAAAAACATAAAATCTCAAAGTTATCACCTAAACTAAAACAAAAATCACAGCCTAAAAAGGAATTGTTACCAGATGAACGGAAATCTTGCTCGGTATTGTTAACTAGCCACTCTCCAGTCTCCCGCAGCTTCTTCTCCACCGGTCCCTCAAATCTCTTGCCCAAGAACAAGTCAAATATGGACTTCCTCACGTCCGGATCCCTGTTCATTAAAATGAAAAACCCAGAATTGCGCGCTCGCGCGCAAATGTATATGCATTTATAACAATAATGAATTAAACCACGTGAAAATAACACGTTATATTATTCTGCAAACAAACAGTCCTACTCTGCCTAGAAGTGAAGGGAAGAAGTACGCACGCTGGCTGGCCGTCGCGGAAGCTTCCGGCACCGACAATGCGTTCGATTTGGACTACAGTGGGCCGTGGGGGAGAAGGTCTGCGTCTCTTTCTTGGTAAAGGAATGGTTTTTGCGGAGAGAAGTGGAGCTTTGGGATCATTGCTTCGTGCGGGCGGGGAAGATGAATCGCTTTCGGGAAGGTTGGCTTGAGCAACAGTTTTAGTTATGGAGGAAAAGTTAGATAAGCAAAACATGGCGGGTCGTCTTCTACTGTGAAATTCCCTGTTCTTTACGATATCATACGACTAAGCGCCACATACAACGTTGAACACAGATAAGATAAAGATCTATAAAATAATAAAATATCTTCAAAGATGCTTTTGTCATTTTTTTTTTTTAAAAATCGGGTCACCATTTTCTGACCAAATAAATTTTAGAAGTGCAGGCAAGTTCACATAAATATTAAAATTTAACAATCATGACAATTTATTGTAAAAAATAACGTGGTAAAATTTTTTTTTTCAAAAAAAATCTGTTTTAAGTATAAATTTCTCTGCACAAAGGTCTTAATTAAACAAATCACTTCTTCAGTTGATAGGCATGTTTTTTTTTTTCCTTTTAACGTCAAATCGCACAGCCTTGCAAGTCTCTTTTATAACTGAGTTTATATATGCACAATCATTACTGACTGTATATTTAAAATTTTAAGAAAAATCCTGTAAGAGGGAATACAGGTTTTATTTTACAAAATTGGAAATAATGATCCATTACAAGAAAATCATTTGAAGACTTCTATGCTTGAAACCCATCATCAAGTGGGCAAATTTCTTAGTAAATGAAGAGCCTTTTCCCATTGTGGCCTTTGTGAGAGCACAATCCTTCTCAATACAGGGACTGCTCCAGCAGCCAAAATCAATGAATGGTTCTCAGGGTCCATGCTCAGATTATACAATATAGCCAATCCTGCTTCAACGGCCCTTTCAGTTCCTCCTCCTATCAGCATCACCAATGGGTCTATGGCCCCCTCAGACACAATAGCTCTAGCAGAATGCACTACTTCTTCAGATATTATTCTGTTCAGTTCTACCACAGCAGCTTCTGTGCTTCCAGAGAGAACGAAGTTTTTATCTGTTCTACCAGTCTTGGGATTGTCTCATAAAGTGTAACTTCCACATTGATTGGATCAATACTTGGGTTGTCACTGGAGAGAGAGCTGAGTTTAACTAGGCAAGCAGCCACCCAGTCTTTGCTGTGGAGAGGAATACAGGACTTGAGGATTTTTCGAAGCAAGCCAATGAAATGGAAAGAATTTACGTTGTCGCGAAAAAGCTGACAGTCGAGTAGTCTCGTCATTAAGCGGGATGCTGCAGATATGGCAAGGCCAGCTTCTTCGACTTCAATCGGGTATGCTTCTGAAACTGATCTTCTACATCAGGTTCTCCACCTGCAGCTTGTGGAAGTCAAATCTCTAGATACAAATGAGTTCCCGATTGGTGATTCACAGTTAAACTAGAACCAAGCAAGGAAGGCAGATAAACAAGATTGCAGATTTTAAATGAAAAATGTTAATCATGAAGGTAAAAAGCAATTTAAATGTCAATGCAATCGCGGAGGCATAGGTAGCATTGGTCACCGGACAATTTATTAACTATATTATACATAGAGACCAAGCTAAATAACATGTATTATAATTTTCTAGAATGAATGTTCACAAAGAAGAAATTTAAGACCTGAAATTCTCAAAATTTTTGCTCAAAGACAGCATTGAGAGCAGTTTCAATATCTACAGATGTAATGGAGACCAAAGCTGGGTCCGTCAATGCAACAAACTCGAGAACTGATGCAGCTTTTCCTTGTAAAGTGGGAGAAGAGGACTTCAGAATCTCAACAAGGCGAGCTACAAAAGCAGAATCCAGTACATCATTCCTGAAATAGTTATCAAATGCAAGTGAACTTTAAGGATCACTGTTCACCGCACTTATTATCAATTCTTTAATCAATCATATCAGTGATGACGAAAAAATCATATTGGAATAAATTACGCTAGCCTCCTTGAGGTACATAAAACTGTGATTTTATTCTTAATACAACAATACCATCAAGTAATAATTTTATCTTCGGAAAAAAGTGCTGAAATTGTGCTTCGTTAATAGAAAATAAATTGGAGGGGAGCTGGCTATAATGTTTGAAAACAAGAGAGTTATTGTTACGTGGAATCAGCAGTTAGCTAATCACCACTCTTGTTACAAAAAACTACCTTGGGAAGCTAGTGTAGTTAACTATTTGTATTAATATGACAAAAGAGTCAATCTCGGAACTTATAGATCGGAACATCAAGAAATCCAAGTCCTCTCTTAGGCTAAAGACCTTCGGAAGTATACATCACCCACAGGACAAAACTAGCCTTTCTCCCTACTGGTCCCACATCAATCATAAGTAAAACACAACAATGCATATTAATCTCCCTATTTTTATTTAGTAGAACATATGAAGAGAAGGTCAATCATTACAATAGACTGTAACTGGACGGAACTTAACTTAAGCAACAGTAGGAATTCCAAAAATTAAAAGGTAGCGACAAATATTGAAGGAAATAAACTATAAATCGAAAGAGGGAAGCAGGGGGAAGTTAACCTGGTAGTGGTCTTTGATGTCGGATATTCAGTGGTACCAAAGCTAGCTGAAACAGCATCATTTCTAACTTCCCTTAAGGCCTTCTCAGATCCATTCACTGGTCCATCATAAAACTGAAAAGAATAACCGTGCTTGATTGTCATTACGGAAAAAGGTTCTCCACATTTGCTGCAAGATCAGAGATACAAACCTTCAGTTTCATCTCTTTACTGGGGTCTAGTATGCGAGCAATTGTATTCAAAGACTGTAGAAAAAAACCACAACGTCATCAGAATCCTGGTAAATTTAATTTATCAAACATAAATAATTTGTTTGACAGGAAATAACAATACCTTTTCTGCAACACTTTCAGAAACCTCTGAGCATTTTAGAATATTAATTAAAGGACCTAACGCTCCCTCAGATTCAATTTTCTGGCAGACTCCATTGCTGCAAAAACAAAACTTCGAATTATTTGCATTATATAAGGAAAATATGTCATCAGTCAAGCATGTAAATTAAATGTAAATTGTTGGTGTTAATGAATAAAAATGATTAAGTGACATCAACAATTAAGTATATCATAAACAGTAATTTGGCGCCCATATAATTTGATCTGCATATTTACATGTGCATCAAAATTCACACCATCTAGTGCACCCGTGCTGGTGGCAATCATCATTAGAAGTAGGTCTTTGCATTCAATATTAAGAAGAAATTACAGTCTACAAGCGGAGATAAATACTTCAATTGAGGCCCTACGCCCCAAGATCCAACCAGCAAGAAACAAATAAAAATAAACTATTCACTTCTACCATTCTCTGACTAAACTAGTAAGATTTCACAAATGTAATCCTTAAACCATGCATTCCAAGTACAACTAAATAATAAAAAATTAACATTCATAATGATTTTTATGTTTATATTTAGAATACTTTCATTTGAAGTCGATCCTTTCACTTCATTTTTCTTTCAAAAAGATTGATGGATTTCAATTACCTGGCGGATAACCTCTCCAAAGCTTGAGTTACAGCCAATCTGACAGCATCATCATCACAATTCAAAAGCCGAACTAAGTGCCTAACAGCTCCAGCCTCCTTGAATGCAATGCGCATATGTTCATTGATGGATACATCAGCTATTGACTCTGCAGCCCTTTTTATGGGAGACTTATCTTCCAGTTCTAACATAAGTACCAAGCGAGCAACACCATCCATCCAAGGTAAAAGTGTAAGTTGTTGTCTATCAGAGCTTTCGGAATCAGATGTGCTTTTTCCTTCCCATTCTATAGCCCCAATACGGGCAAGAAATTGTTGTTGTGTCCGTCCCACAATCGCATTCATTTTTGCTTCCTCTATGTTAGCTCTCTTATCATCAATATTAAGTCCAAGAAGTAATTCTGATGCGCCATACCTGGAAGGTTTTAGAGAAGCCCGTTCAATCTCTGTACCATCTGGTAATTTGGGCCATGAATGCAGACCAGGGGAGAACGACTTGTATGCCTCAGCACCAATCAGTGGCACAGGAACCAGACCTTCCTCAACAACAAGAATTTTATAATATTCATCCTTAACAAATTCCAGCAATGCATTTTTTGCTTCCTTTTTAATGACTTTGGATCCTTCAGAATCAGAAGTCAGGAACTTTGCCTGCAGGAAAAATTGATCTGGAATTTTGTAAGCATCAAGAATTAAGTCCCACAGAAAATATGAAATTCTTCTTACCATTCTTTCATTCACCCCCTCCCTCCAATATTCCTAAGGGATTTAGTGAATTTATGCTGGCTGGATTTACATGCCTACGATCAGTATGCATGTAAAACCAGCATGTCATGCAAACATTTTATTATGGAAATAACCATCTTTTAACTACGATGTAAACTCAAAGGAAGTCTCACCAATTTTGGTATAACACCTGCTTCAACCAAAATGCTGTGGTTAACATGACTCAAAGCTAAATTTGCCAATATGCCTCCTGCAGCTTCCTTCACCTTTACATCCTCCTCTTCAAGGTGCTTAATAATCAATGGCAGGATATCACTCTTTGTAAGTTTAATGCGGAGCTTCTCATCCACAGATAAATTCCACAATGTACTCATACTCTGCTCCTTTACCTATGGAAATGACGTCCACATAATCCTCAATATTCTACAGCAAGAAATATGGATAAATCCAAGCGGCAATATACCTATTCCGATACCTCAGGAGCCAAGGAAGACTGCCTCAGCAGTCTATTTATCTCTTCTATTGCTCCACTCTCTGCTACCAAATTCCTGTATAGATTGACTGAAGATAGAGATCGCAGGAGGCCTGCAGCTGCTTCACATGCTGAACTAGAATTTGATCTGAGGAGGTTCACAGTAAGATTAACGCAGCCAGGAAACCGCATTAAAGTATCAACACACTGCTTTCCGCCAAGTGAATATTTCCACAAAGCAATTATAGCCTGTTCTCTATCAAGAGGATCATGATCTAAGCCTAACATTCGAACAAATAAGGCCACATAACCATCACCGAGACCAGAAGAGGTACTCTTCACTTCTTCAATGTCCTGAAAACAAAGAAAAATATATAGCCTATGAAATGGACTGTGCTCTAACTCAAACGACCATAGCCAGCCAAATCCCAAAAGAATATAAACGCTACATACATCATAGAGTACGAAGATA